GAAAGATTTTTGGTCATTCGGCTTCCTTATGAGCTTCAGAAGACATTCAGGTATATCAATGTCTCTGCTTCTTTCAATCACTTTCAAATCCAAATTGATCAATGGCTACAAATGCTCCGAGGGATACTCGCCAATTAGGATTTAACAGGATCTTTTATTTCTCTAAAGTTGATTATTTATTTGGAAATGTAGGAATGAATTTTTTTTTTTTACCCAGAAATGATAGAAATTGAACTCTGGAAAGTAATGTTGAAATATCTCTTGAAACTGATGAACTTTATTAAAAATGGATCTTCTAAAATTTATTTTGAACTTTAAAAATGTATCAATGCTATACAAATAGTGTTATAAAAATTTATAATGACATTGATGACCAGAATAAGATTCTCTAGATCCAGTCTAAGACATCAACATCTTCAATGAAGTTGATGATTCCCAAAATGGAATTAAATCATAGATGGCAATTGGAGCATCAAAAGTTTCAAGTTGAAACTGGACTTTAAAAATAGTCTCAGGTAAATACATGTTGAGGATAATTTAATTTAAACCTTCTTGATACCAGAGCATGACTGGCTAACTTGAGACTAAGGATCCAAAAGCAGTGGAGTCCATAGCACAATATTTTATGGGATCTTATCTAAGTCTTTGCTAAGAGCACTGGATAAATGATCATGACGTACTTCACGTCTTATTTTTCTAAATAAATAAATAAAACTGGAAAATTTTTCCAGCACTTAAAACATAAGTGTAAAAAGAAGGACATGGAATATTTTTTAATTCATCATATGGTGTTTTTTATCAAGGGGAGTAGCTGATAGGTAAAAGTAAAAAAAATTCCTGACAAAAAAGGAGAGCAAAGACCTAGTGCCATGATGTGTTGTTTGATGAACGAGCTCAGGGATCTTCTGTATCACCACAAGAAGTCACTGACTGTGACATTAGTGCATCTGCTCGTATGTTCTTCGATATCTTGAATGACTACAAGTCATAAATTTAATGATCTAAACATTCGCTCCAGTGAAATACATTTGAACGAGGGCCAAGGTATGCTTGGCCTTGTTAGAAATACCTTAAAAATCACCAAAGGTAAAGATCCCTTGAGTCGTGATGACGAGTGATTAAATGTTAAAAATGTCGCGTGCACAGTTGAATCTGCTGAAAGAATTCGACTAAAATCGATGCTATCTCCCACACCGAAGTGGAGGGTCTTTTGAACAAAAAACCTGTGTGAATGCCAGTGTCCTTTATTCTATAGGTGATGTTCTTACTGATGTAAGAGAAATGACAATCGTAAGTGAGTAAAATGCAATTACTAACAATTAACTTGGCTCTTTAAATGACTGCCTGCAAGGTATAAAGAGATAAGTGTTTTTATTACTTACACTTTTTCAGCCCTCCTTTCAAACCTCAGCTAAGACACTGACGAGTGTCCAATATGTCCGACCATCTGCCCTAAAGAATTCGTTGAAATTCAACTTCAATTGCTTCATTCGTACCTGTTGTCAACTCATTGAAACATTTGGGAAATATTTTAGGGTATTTTTTCTTCATCAACAATGGACTTTAATTACTTCATTTATCCTGATGATCATCTAATTTAATAATGTAGGAATGAGCTAGAATTTAGCTATCAAAATGACCATGAAAAAATATTTCTAAAGATAATTTTAAAAGTGAAGATAATTTTTTTTTTCTCTACTTGATAGAGTATTCAATCCACATCTCTTTAACAACCTGGTTGATGTCTTTGTTATTCCAACTCCATTTATTTCTTGTCCAGAGTTCAACTCTGGTGTGAAGGGCAGGACAAGTACTAGGCTCATTTATATGTATTCGTCTTACACTCTTTTAGTACCCACTTTCAAGAGTATGACTTTTTGCTTGGCTACTGCTTTGGGTTTCCAAGCTGTATATCACTTGCTTAGTGCTAATTGAATGCTCAATAACTAGACCACTAACAAGACAAGTATTTCCAATCAAATTTTTACAATAAAAAGATTATTATCTTAATGAGAAAATCTTCTTATAGTTAATGATTTTATTTAAAAGTTAATTATAATATAGAAATAAATAAAATTAATCATTAATTGGTGTGATGGAAAGTTTGAATTTAAAATATATTATTGACACGTGCTTCATGCTTAACCGACGGGTTATGCATTGGTAATGCAATAATCGAGTAAGTGCATGAAGAGAAAGAGTAAGTGAGTCGTCTCGTGAGTTGGCCCGCGCCGACTATAAAACCAAACTCGAGTCAAGGTAATTACCGCAGCTGTAACCGGTCAACCGTTTGCACCCACTCTCTTCATCCCTGAGGTACAATTTCTCTTTTTCTCTTTAAAGCATCGCGGCATCCTTATACTCACAGGCTTCCAAGTCGCGAATTGCTCACTACCACACACCAATACCTCTTTCACGAAGGATCCAGGATCCATTATCGCTCCTTTGAGAAGCAAAAAGTTTTATAAAATATCACGATTTTTTTTCTTTGATAAAAAAAAATTGTCAGGTAGTCATAGTGACTATATTCCAGTATCAGGAAATATATTCCTAGCATAAAAAGCTGCTAATTGTTGATAAAAAAAAATTATAGCAGACTTTTAATCTTAAACACTTTTAACATTAAGTTGAACTCTGTTGGAAGTTTCCAATTTGTTGTAAGTTTGTTAACAGATTCACACTTTGTAAGTTAAAGTTGCTACAGTGTTTTAAGACATAGTCTAGGTTTTGCTGCATCATATAAGCATGAAGGATCATTGAAGAAGAAAGACTCTGCTCAGCACCATAGTGATCATTTAATTCTGTTGATGAATTGATTCTAAAGTTTACTTCTTGGTCCTTTTGATGATATGTTGATAGATATCAATAGAAAGCTTCTCCAAACTTCATCAATAATTTCTATAAAGCAATCTTCATCTTCATTGTTCTTTCAATTGGAAATAAAAAAATAAATAATAGAAACAATGATAACAATAATGATAGTTCCATTGATTGCGTTGAAAGTAAGGTATTTTAAAAGCAATCGATTGCAAGCTTCTGAGAGTGGATCGATAGCTAAAAGCCAAGCACTTCTGATAATATCGTGACTTTTGAGTGGACGATGACACTGGCAGTGATAATAATAACATCTCCAATTGGTGGAGAGAGACATCAGGATGTTATTCTAGGGCGTCGCCTATTGGTGAGGGTTTTGAAACGCCCCAGGAAGGATGCGCAGCTGCCAGGACATGCGTAATCCATCCAAGGGTGGTTCTTATACTTATCTTTACTCTATATTACCATCACCAATTCTTGTAGGAAGCTTATATTTATACCACAAACTGGAAATAAAAGTCATAGTCATTTGGAGAAACGGAAAATTATTATGAAGGGTTTTTTTTATTTTCTCTTACCAGTTGTTAGGGGTCATTTTTCTGTGAACTAGATATAGTTCTGCACATTGATCATCACCAGAAATTAATTTCCATCAATATTCAATCCATTGGAACCTGGTCTAAACCATCTAGCTTCTGGACACTTTTGTTTTTTGTTGTTTTTTTTTTAAATATTCTTGAAGCAAAAAAAAATTGAATTGTCTTCTAGGTAGCGAGATGATGACAAGCATCAATGACATCAACTCTGACCGTCCATGAACTTTAGAGTGTAACAAAAATGGTAAAGTTTGGCAGTTTTACCACATTTCCGCCGTTAACTCAAGAGTGTTTCGATAATTGCGAAATTGCTTTATTATTATAGCAGGTGGTGTTAATGGTGGTATATTAGGTAGGTCGGCAGTTATCCATGGTGGGCCTTTCACTATACAAATATTTGAAGTAGTTGCTTCTTTGTCGATTTGTTGTACCATTATTTTAGAGCAAAAGAAAAAGAGACACTTCACCAAGATGATGTTTTGGTCATCAGCCTGTTTTGTGTTCTCCCTTCTTGATGGTCATGATCGTAAAAAAAATGGCAATTTAAAACGGCCAAAGGTGAGAAGAAGATGAAAAAATGGACTGAAATAAAATGCAATGAGTCTTTTAAGGGAATTCGTAGAAAGCACACGTCGCTTCGAAGGTCATTGGGGTTAAAATCCTAAAAAGAGACATTAACATCATCAACTTTTGAAGATAAAAAATATCTTTTGGTATTTTATATCATACTTACACAACATGGGAAGTCTTTTTTGATATTCCAAAATATTTTATTAATAATAAAGATATTAAAATACAGTGTAAACTGTTTGTAACGAAGAAGTAGACGGTAGAAATTTTATAGTTATTTTTCACTAATTAATTTACAGTAGAAATTACTAGAAATAAAAATAAAAAATTACTAGGGTTTTTTTTAAGTAAATTCAGCAAAAATTACTATTCTCATTGGTTAAAATTACCAAAATAGGATTATTTACCACTTTTTTGTTAAAAAAAAAAAAAAACCTAGTAATTTTTAATTTTTTTTGCTAGTAAATTTTACTATAAATTGACTAGTAAAAATAAATGTAAAATTTTCCCCACGTAAAGCAGTACTCTTTAAAAAAATTAATCAGTGAGAATTAGTGTATATTCACTGATTTTCAGTTATAATACAATCACTGTTTTAATTAGCGCTATCATTATCACTACAAATAATTAACATTCACTGATTCATCTTCAGAGAGTAGGTACATTAAATTTCTTTCTTTTTTTCCTTTTATTCAATAATATTGAGCAAATTAAAAATTAGAATTTTTCATCTTTAAATCACCCCTTGATTGATAATTACATAATTTATAGCATAAATTGATTAATAACCCGAAGTAAATAATTTTTTATCAGTAATTAATGTTTTTCAGAACAATTCATTGACAAATAATAAACAATAGAAAATTTTAAATCAAAGACTGATGGATTTATAAACAACTGTGTCACATAAAAAACAATTATTACAAAGCATTTATGCAATTAAATATTAATAAAATAAATATTAAAACTCAACTATTTTCTGTCCAATAAGAAATTAATACAACATTGTAAATCCAACTATTATTCAATTAGAAACTAAATCATTAATTCCTTAGAGTGTAATTAAATTATCATTCTTTTTTTTTTTTAGACAATCAACAAAATCGATTAAAAAATGTCAGTATTTATTTTTCATTTTCATATTTATTTTATCCATGTCTTGGAATGTGGTGGGATCATCTCCATCAAACAATAAAAATATTTTAACATAATTAATTGATTTAAATATCATCATTATAGTTTGTCATTGAATCAAGGACGGAATGATTTTGATCAAGAAATAATTTACGAAAATTACTGACATCACTGAATAATTCCGTTGATGAGGAAAAAATTAATATTTTATTCGTTACCTATACGCAAAGGCGGCACATATGAAGGAAAAAAATGATGTCTGAATAAGAATAAAAAAAAAATAATCTAAAACTCGTCCCTTAATATCTCCGGCAGCTGCTAGAAGATGTTTAGGCGAAATTACTGTCGATAAAATTGCTGAGGTTTTTCGCAGCTCTTGTATATGCTGCTTTGTACTCTGAGAGAGAATAGCCATGGCAAATTGATCAGTTAGGCTGCAGTATCATGTATATATATACAGTCTGTGACCGAGTATACACACGTTGATGATGAAACCAGGGTGATAATCAACCTTCGATTTACTTTGGCTACTGCTTGTATATAGTTCAGTTGATTATTAGTTCTATTCCTATCAAACAACAAAAAAAATCCATTTCAAACTCCAAAATTGACAATAGATATTTAAATAATTTTTTGTCGTCATTTCTAGTGTCACTAGAATATTACTTACCGTTGGAAATTGATTGAAAGTTGGATAAAAATAGATAACATTCTTCAGTGTGGATGTATGACACATTTTTTCCATCATAACAAATTTATTCATCATGAAAAAAAAACACTTCAACCTACGCCAAGCATGAAGAGACCTCATCCAAAAAAGTTTTCCGTAGTATAACTAATAATTTAACTATTAAAATTTTATCTGATTTGAAACAGACACCAACTGTAGTCTCATTCACACACATAATTATTTAATTAATAACAATAATGGTGTTGATGACGATGCAGCCGGAAGAGTTAAAGGTGAAAATAAATTTTAATTGATGACATTCTACCTTGTTGATGGAAGAATGGTTATTAAATAAAACGTAAATCACCCTTATTAAGAACACCAAATATGCATTAGAAGTCATCAGGTTAGACTTAGTATGTTGGGATAGTTTAGATTAATTTGTGGTTACACCGCAGAAGGATAAAACATCAGGGAATTTTCTCCAAAATCCAGTGTGCTTTTGACAGACAGGTGAAACTCTGGACTTTATTTCACATCTTGTACATGCCCGCATTCTTGTTTTTATATTGTGAAAAGTGTCTTGTATTTTTCATCTTCAATATCTCCAAACTATGGATCCAATTTATCGTCAACATCTATAGAAATATTTATTAATCATTTTTATTTTTCAATCAACTTTCTTTTTTGTTTTTCAGTCTTAAATTAAACACACGAAATTTATTAACCATGTAAAAAAATTTTCTGCGTGTAAAATTGGCTTACGTGTCAAGAGAAAAACCACAACATTTGGTGGACCGCAAAAACTATAGAATTAACAGCAGATGATCCGTGATGTGTGTTTGAGGAACTCATTCATTCGTTATGACATCTATGAGGATGAAGTCTAGAGAATGGCTACCATTTGGTGGACCACAAAAACACACTTGTATCCAAGTCAGTTCCAAAAAGGTGATGATCCGTGAACATTCGCAACCTGTCTTTCAACAAGGGACGCCAAGAGTTGTTACGATACAATTACTCGCTAGGGGGCCGTTACCGTGATCTCTCGAGGATTTCACTAGTTCCCCCTATTTATTTGTCATTCGATATAAGAGTCATTAAAAGGCGCCTGAGTGTAGACAGCAGAAAGATGTAGTCCATTTTTCACCAACTCAATTACTATTAGTATTTATTTTGATATTTATTACTTTAACTTTATGATTCATTTCATCTAACCTCAAATTTTGAGGTTATTATTATTGATATCGTTATTGATGATTATTTAGTCAATTATTATTCAGTTTAAAAATATTTCTAGTTAAAAATATATGAATCAAGATGTCCTAAGTGACTAAAATTACATGAATTTTACTGTATTGAGTTGAATAGAGGAAAAAAAAAAGATACAGAAAAACTTTTCCGATAATATTAATCGTTGTATAATGAATGTCGCGTGCGACGGGGGACGATTAGTGCAGGTGTGACGATGAGGTTTGAGGTCGGTGAGAAAAGATGCATATTCCAAGGTAAGATTTAGATCTTAAGCCATAAAAGACAGGCAGGAGAATTTATCTTGATGTTAAAGACGATAATATCTTATTTTCTTAAGTAGTCTAGGCTCTAGGCGGCTGGTGATGGAGATCATTGATATCTGTCTTCACTTCAGTCTAGGTTAGGGTCGATTAGACACGGACCCAAGTATCAGAAGGTGAAACAGAAGAAAAAAAAGAGAAGTTGGCTTTTTAATTAGCCACAGAGAGGAAGATGAGAGAAGAGATGGTAAGTAATATTGAAGAATCGAGGGATAATTTTTAATGAATGTTTGGCAGACTAAAGTGAGTAAAAAAGGGTGAAATTAATATGATGAGAATTCATAGAATGATGAGCAGTCCATCGGAGCGTAAAGTTGGTGTGCTCGTGGCATGGAAGGCGTGCCAGAGTCCGCCCAGCCCCTGCTGGTCGAGGGTCGCGAGGTCGCACGTCGACAAACCCCCCACTTCAAGTTCCACACTTGGTCCCTTCTCTCAAGCTTTAGCTTGATAGAGCACGCGACGGACACGCCAAAGCGTCACCTCGTTCTCTTCACGCTCGTGGCCTGGCTACTCTAGAGAGAGCAGACCTCACCAGCACCAAGCAGAAGTATAACCGTAACCCCCGAGAGTTAGTTCAGATTCTCTGGACCTTTCAAACCAGTGAATACCACTTGCTGCTCTTCTTGTTCAATTCATTCTTCAGTAGCTGCTGCTGCTGCTGCTTCTTCCCACTCTCTTCTCTCATCTGGCTGGCTTTCCCTCTTCAGACACGCGAGAGTCCTTTACCTGCTGGCAATCTGAAGCCTCGTGGTCGACCACCAACTCTTCAGTTCCTGCCATCCACTCCACAACGGAGCCACACGGGATCCAACAGTGTCACGCGAATTCGTCTAATTCGGGATCGACCAGCCTTAGTGACAAGTGTCTCTTGATCATCAAAGTTTGAAGTGATGAGGAATCCTATTCACGATGGATTTGTTTAGTGAATCCAGCATATAAATTATCACTGGCTTCAGAAACACACACAGACATCAGGAAAAGCACCTTTGGATCTTCTTTCATTCACTCAACGTCAACAGGTAAGCTATTTTTTTATTTATTTTATTCTATTCTTCATTCAGAGTGTTGATGATTAAAATATTTCTTTATTTCTTTTCTTTAGTTTTGAAGTGTCAGTAAGGAAAGTAGGTTTTCTTAATATTAAATACAAAACCCAGTGAATCTTTCATGTTATGATTTTGAAATAAATATTAAATTTTTGCTATAAAACAAAGTTCTTGGGTACAAGAAGCAACACGACACGCCATCGCTTCATTTAAAATGCAAATTCTCGTCGTAGTGGCGTGAACCACAGCACCACGGCAGCCCGAATTATTCTAATTAGCTTCAAACCTGAATGCTTAACTGCTCATTCGACATCAAGACAATACGAAATTTTTTGTTTTGTTTACATTGAAATAATATTCATCAAAATTTACCGTTATTTTATATAAGATATCAAACAACTCCAAAAGGAAAATTTATTTATTTCTGATAAACACGCGAGAGTGTAACTGTTTTAAATATTTCATTATTTGTTCAGATAAATAACAAATGGTTGGCAATGTTTATTAAGGTTTAATTGTCATTTTTGTAAAAACATTCGTGATAGTTATCACACTAGTGTGATAAACGAAGTTGCTTGGAGTTTTTGTTAAACATTTTAGTATTGGAGAAGAATGATAATAAAGTGGAAGAGAGAGAGAGAGAGAAAAAAAAAGGGAATAGTTGAAAAAATAAATGGCAAAAATGTGGATTATCAAGAATATGCGTTCACAATTCGTGTGAGATGTCGTGTGAGCACAAGCTTTAATATATTCAGATTTTTATGGCCGGTGGCGTATCGGAGATACGGGCCATGTTACCCTCTCTTTTTATCCAGTAGCCACGAGCTACATACATGACAGTTAATGCTCAAGGGGTCGATCATGAAAAAGGAAAGAGGAGGGTTTGCCTTAATGAATAAACAAAAAGTTTATTTTGCCACGGATTTACACTAAAGCGTAACTCTTTACATCTACGAACTTTTCAAATTATTCAAATGTTATTCCCCCTTTTTAGCGTTGGGAGAGAAATATATCACTCAGGTATTAGCGTGAATAAATCACGATATTTTTGTATTCATTAACTTTGAGGAAATTAATCACTTTTTAATTTTTTTTGGTTTTAATCAGCTAAAGTGTGATGGACTTGAAAAATTGCTGCTTTTGTTTAAATTTATTTATTGATTGTGCTAGTTTTAGTTTAATTATTGATTGATGGATTTGTTAGAATTTTATTTTTAATTGTTGAGTTTGAGAATTAGTTTTATTTTTGTAATAATTATCTAGTGAATATTGTTATATTAGTGTTATTGATCTGTTAATACACACATTTAGTTATATATATATATATATATATATATTATATATATACATATATATATGATGCTAATTTTAGGAATTAAAATTTATTATTAATACTTATTAATATTTATTTGTTTAATAATAAGTACTTAATAGTAATGATATGGATTTATGAGTTTTTAATGCATTTATTAAAGTCACTTGGAATTGATTGCATATTAAAATTATAGTCAGAAAAATTTTAGGAAAAATTACTATCTAATTAAAATTAATTGATTGATTGAAATATAATTAATATTTAAAATTAATTGAAAACAGATTTGAATAATAAAAAAAAAATTGCGAGCTTCATAAATGATTAAATCAATTTTGTTGATTGTCTAAAAAAAAAAAAGAATGATAATTTAATTACACTCTAAGGAATTAATGATTTAGTTTCTAATTGAATAATAGTTGGATTTACAATGTTGTATTAATTTCTTATTGGACAGAAAATAGTTGAGTTTTAATATTTATTTTATTAATATTTAATTGCATAAATGCTTTGTAATAATTGTTTTTTATGTGACACAGTTGTTTATAAATCCATCAGTCTTTGATTTAAAATTTTCTATTGTTTATTATTTGTCAATGAATTGTTCTGAAAAACATTAATTACTGATAAAAAATTATTTACTTCGGGTTATTAATCAATTTATGCTATAAATTATGTAATTATCAATCAAGGGGTGATTTAAAGATGAAAAATTCTAATTTTTAATTTGCTCAATATTATTGAATAAAAGGAAAAAAAGAAAGAAATTTAATGTACCTACTCTCTGAAGATGAATCAGTGAATGTTAATTATTTGTAGTGATAATGATAGCGCTAATTAAAACAGTGATTGTATTATAACTGAAAATCAGTGAATATACACTAATTCTCACTGATTAATTTTTTTAAAGAGTACTGCTTTACGTGGGGAAAATTTTATATTTATTTTTACTAGTCAATTTATAGTAAAATTTACTAGCAAAAAAAATTAAAAATTACTAGGTTTTTTTTAACAAAAAAGTGGTAAAAATTTCTATTTTGGTAATTTTAACCAATGAGTTTACTAAAAAAAACCCCAGTAATTTTTTATTTTTATTTCTAGTAAATTTTACTGTAAATTAATTAGTGAAAAATTACTATAACTAAATTGATTAGTAAAAATCACTATAAAATAATAATTGGACAAAAATCCGGGCAAAATAATTTTTTTAAAAGGAAGAAAGTTGAAAATAAATAAAAAGAAGAATATTTATATAAAAGTATAGGGTAAACTCGTAATTGAAAATGACTCGTTTCCTCGAGGTGTCGAGAATGTACGTACATGTACGTTTGAGTCTTTTCTCTGGTGCTTTTCTTTCTGTTGGTAGAATCTTTCGATTGCGACGTCCTTACAATAAAATATCCCAGTAATGAGGATTGAGCGATTATTATAAATCAAACGGTTGACCGTGTGCCAGGCGTTCAGTGCATTTCTCGCGTTCTCCATGTTTTGTCCATGTTACTCTTGCGAACACGTGTCTCTCATGCTCTCTCCTCTTGTATATCTCTCCCCGTCGACACGAATTACACCCGTATAAGCAATGAAACAACCACACTCACGATTTGTTTTTTTTTTTTTTACCTCCACAGAACTACTTGATAATTAAATCGAAATCCACCTGTTTGTCGACAGATATATAAAACACTTTTGCCGACGGAAAAATTATTATTCAATTACCGGCATTTCTTATGTCTTTTCTACGACTTGAAAATTTTATAAGCGAGGGTAATTAATACTAAAAATATTTTTTACAACATTCTTTTAGTGCTAATTTCATTGCTGTATGCTTTTATAATTATTTTTATTTTTTTTTTTTTTTCAACATCTATGGGAGAAAAATTAATTGCGTTAAGAACAATTAATTCTTAATTGAACTTTCAATTGGTTTTCCGATTAATTAATTTATCAATTTTGTCAGTTTTATTGAGAAGGAATTATTTTGTGAGCTCTAGAAAAATTTGTAAAAAACTCAATTAAATTTTAGAATATTTATTAATTAAATAATTATTCTTTTAAAGACAATTAACAATTGTTAACAAAATATTGTGAAAGCTTTTTTTGAGTAAAAATTTTTTATTAAAAGCTCAATTAAATTTTGAGCACTGATTTATTTAATAATAATTCCTTTAATTAATTAATTAACATTTGAAAAAAAAAAAAAAAATCTTAAAGCTTTCTTGAGTGAATAATTGATTTTTTGAGCTTTAAAAAAAATGGATTAAAAGCTCAATTTAATTTTTTAAGAACTCCTCAATTTATTAATTTTGGTTTACAGATAATTAATTAAGTTCAAATGATTTTTTAATAAATTAATTTACTGACTTTAAAGCTCAACTTGAGAAAAAAAAAAATTAAAAGCTTTTTTAAAAAAAGCTCAATTAAATTTTTAAGCCTTGGTAAATTTATTAATTATTTTTCAAAACAATTAATAATAAATTAAGCTCTAAAAAAATCTTTAGAGCTTTCAAAAATTAACAAATCATCCAATTACATTTTTAAGCTCTTTTCAACGTATCCTTGAGCTTTAAATTGGATCAAATTAATTTTGAAGAAATTTTCTATCATCATTTATTGAATTTTAATAAAAATGTAGTAATTTAAAATTTTAAAAATGTCTCTCTATCGTTAGCTAATCGTCAAAACCGCTCATTAATCATTTTAACAAGTATTCAATCAACTTGACCCTGAGCTAAAACAACTCGAAATCAATGAAAAGGAATTTTCAATTGGCAATTCCAAGAAAAATCGGTGATAATGATAATGAACACCAAGTATGAAAAATGATTGGAAATGCGTCATAAGTAAACAAATAAATAAGTTTGTAAGGAAATAGGAGTCAGGGCCAAAGTATAAGAGGAACGTGTGTGGGTGTATCGTTTCCTTGGGATCGCTTAAGTATACCTCAAAAGTCAGATTATAGCGAGCACCGACGATTGTGGAAGGGCGAACAACTACCACACGCCGGAGGGTTGCTCCGGTAATCGTGCATTAATTTGCATCACAAAGTACACGCCACTCTGCCTACTCTGCTACGCACGCATTCCTCATAGTTTTCCGCTCTCTTTCTCGCTTCTCTTCTGGATAATCTCACGATTTGTACTCTTTTTTTTTTTACAAGGGATGTTATTTTAAGAATCATAAATTTTATTAAAATACTACAAATTCTTTCATTTTATCGTACACTCTTGTTACTTCACAAATCATTGCTCAATCTTTTCCAATGTATGCTAATTTACATCAATCTGTGACCTCATTCTAATTTTTTGACAACTTTCAAACGCCCTCTATATAAGAGTTCATTAAAATGTCATGTAAAATAACTAACCTCAAACCACCTCAAATTTTTATTATCAAACTGTACAGTTTTTATCTGTTTTTTTCATGTAAAAATTATTTATAAGTGTTTATAAAAATAGTACACACCAATTTTGATAGGTTAAGTTCAGTAATAATTGCATAATTAATTCTGAAGTGTCATGGCGAGCGTCGTTGTCATGAGTTATTCATCAATAAAAATTTATTATTCAATTACTACTAAACTTAAACTATCAAAGTTTGTGTGTACTATGTTTTTGAATACTTATAAATATTTTTTACATGAAAAAAAACCGATTAAAACTGCACAGTTTGATAATAACAATTTGAGGTGGTTTGAGGTTAGAAAATCTGAGCCTAAAAGCTCTCACATAATTGAGTGGAATAAAAATAAGAAAACAAATAGGCGTAGAAATAAGTGTTACACTTTTTATTAGTTATCAAAATGCCATAGTTAACAATATTAATAACATTTAAACATTTAATTATTAAACACTTGAATATATTCGGATTTCATTCCTAACCTCTTTAAATATTCTATTACTAATCTCTTAAATTCTCTTGAATTAAAAGTAATTCTAATGATAAGAATATTTATAAATAATAACTTTTTTAATTAAACAATAAATAGATAAAAGAAAAAAAAAATAACAAGAGAAGGCTTTTAAACGATTTTTCTTATGTCTCATGCATGAATGAGAGTCACGGTGTCGGTAATACTTGACCGCGCTTTCGAGCTTATCAGTTTGGTTGCATATTTAAGGGTTGCCATGTCACAAGCATCAAGCGCGCCCTTTGAATACATTTAAATTCATTACACGAAGTACATACACTAGGTCTTACACTGGTGGTGTAAGCTACATGTATGTATTTACCTTGTGGCTAATCGACCACACTCTAAAACATAGTTGGTAAGAAAAATATCTAATAAGTGATAAAAGAAGATAAATAATAATAAAATATCTTTTATTTCTTTTCCAGGGAATTTTACCAGTCGTCATCGTCGTCGTGTGACAACATGCCGCATACTGGTGAGTCATAATACAAATTTTTTTCGATGATCTATAGATATTTAATGGCATTCAAAAATATTGTTAGATGAGAGCAATAAAAATTTTATTCTATCTCTCATGATCCAATCATCACAACTTGAGCTAGAAGTCGATAAGTATTTTTTTTCTTTTGATATTATAGCATTGTTGATCATAGGAGTTATAACATGTAGGATTTAATTTATCAATTTATTGCGTTTTAATGAGAAGAGGATTTTTATTGGTACTAATTATAGTTTGGTTGTGTTGATTTTATTTTAAATTTAAATTGGATAGAAAATATTTTTTCACTGGATTTAAATGTCTTGAGATCTTTGGAGAGATTCTGATGATGGTGAACTGTTGGTAGGTACGTGAAAAGAATTTTTTTCTCATACCCCCGTCCAAAGTTTAAATTTTCAAGTCCCAAAACGACGTATGATATTCCCAACTTTGGCTTTGGTTGCAATTTTACATCCAGGTCATAATATCATACTTTGCTCCCTTGGTTAATAATCTACTATTTGTTCTGATAATTAGTATTTACGATGTTTGATGTGTTCCTTGACTTGGACCAAGACTAACTGATGATGCTAGACTTGGTAAAGAAATAAATTAGTCCAACATCCTAGCTCTACACATATTAAATTGATAACTGTTATTGCAGTCAAGTGTAAACAACCTAGTACTCTTTCATACCTAGATGTAAATTTCAATTCTGTTTCACTTCCAGCAACCTATGATTACTTCCAGTTGGTTATCAATAAAATATACATTGATATCTCCACTTGATCAGCATGTGTAGGTTGTGAATAACTCCTCGATGTTGATGGCATTGATGGCAGTGAATTATTTATTACACTAGATTTTATGTAAATTAAATGCCACATCACCCGGAAGAGAATTAAATTCACTTTTTCGTCAACTTCATTGTTCTGAATGCAAGTAAATTGTCCAGGAAATCTCATTATTATCCAACAAGATCTTTTGGTGAGATTTTAGTTGAGATAAAAGAACCTGCTGCTGGTGTTTTTGCTGTAATAATCATTTCAAGACATGTGTCCAACTGCCCAACACTCTTTTCACTACCAATGTATTCAAGGTAGTAATTTTTAGTGAATTAAAAAACAAGTTAATCTGTCAAAAAATATTTGATATGTCATAAGATTATGTTCAACTTGCAAATGTCAAGATTAAATGTCATTTTATTTTTTTGAAAAATTATCCATTAACTAGACATTGATGCAAATTATCATCATTTTATTCTTTGACTTTTAAATTAATTTACACTTGTTCAGGAACAAAAAATATATAATTGTTTATTTTAATTGATCATTTATGTTTGAAATAATTTCAATAATCATAAAAAAGAAAATGATTGAATTCCAGGTGAAAAATATTCAGTTGAAATCAAAGTTTCTCAATGATAAATAATTATTAGGATGTGAATGGTAGAAGCTGGAATATATCTGAGTAATTGAGTTAATGATGTAATTAGCTGGTAGCATGGATAATAATTAGTGATCGTCATCCCATGTGTATCTCGTTCGTCCTTCTTTGGGCAGTGAGTCCACCCTGAAATGTACGTGAAAGCGCGTGCAGTCAGGATTTATATAGAGGTTGCCGCCTTCATTCCGGTAACGGTTTTATGTGTTTTTAAACGTCTTACTGCTGTCATCATGCCGATTCTTCCAATTGAGTTGTCGTTGATATCTGATGATCCTTCATATACTTATTTCTTTTATTGTTTGCCAATCGAGTCCAGAAAATAACCACCTGGATAAATAATTGAATCATCAGCAAAAAATATTATCATCAAGAAATGATTGAAAATAATTAAAAGTTTGATGAAAAAAAATTGTCAGACAGTCTCCAAGTAATAATTCTATTGTGGAAAAAATTTAAGCTTCATGATGATAAGATCATGGACCAGTGGTGGATAGATGAATAAATAGAAATGTTTGACAGTAAAATTGGTCTGGAGAATTTTAAATAATTTCATTCGTGAGAACCATGGAATCTAGTTGTAAATGAGTAACATTAAGCTGCTAATTAGCATCGAATATTACAAACTTTAATTAACAAATAGATGAAACTTTCTCTAATAATCATCAAACGATTGTCTAAATACCAAGACATCATTCAGCTCAACCATCATCAGAATTACTTCATCTTGATTCATCAGCTAGCTATCAGAGTTGTATGCAACGAACTTTAATCTGAATATGCTGGCTATTTTCTCCTAGAGTAGGGCATTTAAAAGTTATCAACCACTTCATGTTGGATCTGTTTATAATAGAAAATAAACAAGTCAGTTATTTCAAGGTGTTTTTTAGCTAAACTATTGGAGATAGAAAAAAATGATGCTAACAAAAATTATGTATTTTTTCAAGACGAATAATTTTTGTTATGATCATTTTTGCTCTATCTTCATTATTTTAGGAGTTATGAGCTAAAAAAGGTAGCTAGATGATCAACTTAATTGAAAAGAAGTAATAAACACTTGATTTTTATTCCAAAAAATGTTTAAGAGAATTTTAAAATAAATTTTCCAGTTAAAATGTAAATCTGAAATGTAAATGATAGCATTAATTGCTGCTAGCAATGTCTTTAAACATCTTGAATTAACTTAAAAAAGTATTTAATAATTTTATTTTATTTTTTATTCAACTGAGAATCGATGAAAAAGGTGAATTTTTAGTTAATTTTACAGTTAAATCGTGCATACCGCGTGTAAATTACAAGCGGCTTTGACTTAATGGATATCACGCGATGATTTATACACACGAGTCCCTCCAAGGAATACTCTTTAATCTCTTTTTTCAAGACGCGCCTCAAGCGACAGTGTGAGGTCATTTGCTTTCCAACTCTTCTAGATCCCAATGATAACCGATCACTCAGTTAATTTGAGCAACATAATCACCTAATTTCTAACTTGCAATTGCACCGAATATCTGAAAGAAAAATAAAAAAAAAACAAAAGGTCTTTGAATAGCAATGAACTTGTTTTAGCAGCTGAAATAATGTTGGATCCCAAGGTGATGGATAATTGAAAATGCATGCCTGTTAAAAATCGATACAGATCGTTAGAACAAATTCGGCTCGTAAAAGTGCAGCCTAAATAGCTGAGTGCATTTCGCAGGAAACAATTTTAGTCTAGGGGTTTGGAGATCCTTTCGTTCTGAAAATAATTGCACGTCTTCATGGGAGACACGCGAGCATCCACTAGAAACTTTGCTGATGTCATTAGACCCAAAACTGCTGTGAAAACACCTGCCCATCCCCTAATGTCATTTTCGGGGGCTGTATTTTATTTTTTACTCTTTTATTGACCATTAAAAATTCTCACGTCTTTTTGCTGGACTACTTTTTTGGTCATTTAAAAAATAAACAATCTTCTTCTGCGAACTGATGATCCAATTTCATCAGATCATAGCTAACTGATGATCAACTGGATCCAAGAACACTAGATGTCATTGGACCAGGTTGTTTTTATTTGATTCATCATCAGAATTAGTTGATTAATTTAAGGTTGTTAATTGCAGGTCAAGCTGGAGTGAATCAATTAGGAGGAGTATTTGTGAATGGACGACCTCTTCCAGACTGCGTCAGACAACGAATCGTCCAATTAGCACTTGTTGGGGTGAGGCCTTGTGACATTTCACGACAGTTGCTCGTTTCTCATGGATGCGTTTCCAAGATCCTCACACGCTTTTACGAAACAGGAAGCATCAGACCTGGAAGCATTGGGGGCAGTAAAACTAAGGTAAGAAATAATGAAATATATTTACAATCAATTATTATTTATAACTGTTTATTTAATATGTTCTGATAAATGAACTAGACCTCTTGCTGGTTTGAATGAAATAAAGCTTGATAGAAATAAATCTAAGATAACTTGAGGAATTCTTCGGACGCTAAAGAATAAAATAAAAACTGTTTTTATCGTGAACTGATTTCCACAACATGTCGGTTTGATTCATTTCATCTGGGATGTTGATGTTGATGGGTGGAACAAGCAAGATGTGCAAGATCCACTTGATGTGATTTTAAGTAAAGCCTTCGTGCTGAACCATGTCCGCAATTATCCAAACACCATGCTTGAGGCATTTACATAATTTCATTGCTACGCAGTGTCCTGTTAGCTCAAGAGATTGGTGTGAATATCAAATACCTCATCCTCAGGTTTATATCCAAATAAGACAATGTAATTCTTGGTAAAAAGAAGACTTGGGAAGATTGCTCGGTTATTTTTTTTCTTGATATCAAGGTGGTCTTATCTGCAATAAAATGTAACTTTGTGCCACTAATGGGCATAGAAGTCATTGCGCACCAAGGAGGATGAGAACGTGCAAATGAGCTCACACATGCGCGCGAATCTCGATCCATGATACGCCAAATGGCTGCAATATCGTGTGGACTATGACACTAATGATAATATAATTATACTTCCTTTATGCGTATACTAAACTTGGAGAAGATTTCTTGCCAACTTTTTGACTAATGAATTTAATTTAATCACGGCCATCAACCTGAGAGCAATCAAGCTTTATTTTTGTCACTGACGTAAAAATTGTTGTTATTTGTTTGAATAATCAATTTATTAAATGATTGATTAAAAAAAATATTTAGAAAAAAGTAAGGGAATGATGCCATCCTAATATTTAAACATGTGGAAATTTTTATTTCACTTTATGATTTTTAAAAAAGGTCTTAAAGAGGTCGAAAAAAATTTAATGATTGTTGATCATGAAAGTAGAGACTTTAAGCTTTAAAACAAGCTTTGGTTGAATAAAATCCGATGATTTTTCACTAAAATACAGCAGTTTTAAAGCAAGTCATTATTTTTAGGTAGGGAAGAGTGCAGAAATGGTATCATTTCCACACGAAGATCTATTAATGTTTATTAGAAATCATTTTCACTAAGAAAGTAATTTAAGAATTTCAATAATAAAACAATTTTTTATTAAAAGAATGAAGTAATGAAGCTAGGAATGAACATATTACCAAACGCCGTGAGGAAATAGTATCATTTCAGCACTTTAGCCGATGAATGTTCATTTTAAATCATTTTTTTGATTAAATTGTGTAAGAATCTCCGTGATAAGACAATTTTTTATTGTTCACAACACTTGTATTTGATTAAAAGGTCAGGATAATGAAGCCAGAAATGATAGTTTTACCGCACGGCGTGCGGAAATATTGTCACTAGAGTTTTTTCTCAGAAATATTAAAATAAAAATCAATAATTCTTCACATAACTAGGAAAAAAAACTCTTTTGTTAAATTTATATGCAATTTATTTTAATTTATAGCATTAAAAAAAGTTTTTAGAGCAATAATAAAAATTAATCGTCAAATAAAAAACAAGAGAATGTAGCCAACTAGAAGATACATTATTCGATTAAATAATTTACAGTGTAATGTAGATAAAATTAATTATCAACACATGGAAGAGCTTTTACATCCAACATGAGCTTAATATTTAAACGTAAATATTAGTCTTCGATCAAGTTTTGATATAAAAGTTCTAGCTATATCTATATGCATATAAATAATTTGGTAATTGAATCAATGATTAATAGTATTTTTTATCATCAACTCCATCAACATGTGTGTTGTTGTCTCTTCTAGACCCTTAATTTTTATTTCCAAGTATCTATTTTTTCTAGTGCTCTACAGTTGATCTAAAGTAATAATAAACGAGTCAAAAGCACGGCAATGGAAAATGATGATATAAAAAATGTAAAATACTTTGATGTACAATGTGAAATAGTTGTTGCAAATAGTCAACAATTTTCTCGCTTTGCGCTCTTGACCGTTTCATATCAAATGACACGAATGGGAAATCAATTGAAGATAAATAATGATTATGTTTATATATTTTTTTTATTTTCATTTTATTTTATAAAGAAATAACAAGAGCAAAAGAACCCGTTGCACATGTTTCCAGTTATCTGGTAATTACGATCTCCAACAGTTTTCAAGCGACATCCGTTAAAACGTCTACGAGTAAACATACACTTCCTTTTTCCATCGACTTTTTTACATCTCTCTATTACCAACTACTCGATTAATGATTTAAGCTTTGTACAACACTCATGAGTCATTAAAAGCTGTCACATTGTTTTTAACAAAAAAAAAAAAAAATATCGTACTATTCTACTTAACAAATTGAAGATATTTTATTTATTAATAATCTACTCGAAAAATAATTAAATTGAAAAATGACCGTCATTTAACCGTCTAATTTAAGATAATTGTAAAATGACCGTCAGAAAAGAAATGATATTTAAAAGATAGTTTATTCTAGATATTTTTTTTTCTTGCAAATTATTGTTATAAATTATTGATTTTAAAATCATTAATTGTAGTTTATCAACAAATAAATTTTTTGAAGTTTTTTTTTTTTTTTTTTATAATTAAAAGTTACAATTATGTCAAATGTATGAAATAATTTGGTATTGATTAAATGTCATTCAGTCAATTAAACTAATAAATTTGATTAATTGAACTAGTGAATACAAGTATATGTATGTAATCCAATGATTAGAGATTTAATTAATTCATTCTTATTTATTTTATTTAAAAATATTAATATTTATTAATTATATTAATTTAATTTTTGAATAAAATAAAAAAGAAGCAATGATATATGAATGTAAAAATAAAATAACATTTTATTGAGGATGATAAATAATAAAAATAAATGTTTGTAATGTCGTTTACCGGACTATTATATAAAAGGCTGATATTGAAAATAGGGCTTTGACAGGGTTAGGACATTGCGTGCGACCCCAAGATGATCTCAGATTCTAATCTGACACTTCCGTCGTAGCGACAATTACCCTCTCGACCTGTTTGTGTGTCCTAATGTCATGATGGACATCCTCATAGCGATGAAAAGGGACAACTGCAGGACATATATGGCCAATAGAAGCCAAGCCAACTTGAAGAGGGGAAATTGGTCAGGAACATCTGGTGTCAAACGTTATAGATAACCCGAACGTTTCAAGCACAGGTTCAACAATTATCTCCTCATCACTCTTGCGTGGTCATCACTGATAACCGTCATCTTCTCTTGTCCCTTTTCAGTTGAGAAAATGAATTATCTATGTTCCCATCAATTGGAAAAAATTCGGTTTGTTTTTGTAATCGATTATACATTTGCTATGTTTCATTTCTGAATCATTAAAACCAACATTCAGACATTTAGGTGTTTGTTTAGTTATTGTTGATGGCTTTGATGACTTTCTTCATCATCAATATTATCTTCAAATGATCTAGGTGTTGGGTAAAGTGATGGGCAATCATCAATAATTTGGTTGATAAATTTATTTTAATGATAATAAGTGGCTGTATAAAAAATATCCCCTGCGATGAAAACATGGCGTGTCCTTAGCGGGTGGCAATCTCGACTTAAGAAGATCGTTGATCTCCAAATCTGTCGGTTCGTATAACATTTCCATCGCGTTAGCATAAAATTATCCGGTGGGCACTCACCATTCATTAGCAATTCAAATTGTCTTGAGTGGTCAACAACGACTGTGATTGAGAACCACTGAAACTTATCAAAGAGGAGTTCCCCAAGTGCATTTCGAGGTGTAGGTTGTAATACAGATGACGGGGTTGAACCTTAAACAAAAAAAAAAAAGTAAAAATATGAAAAGGGTAGATGTATATAGATCTATAGCTGTGTTATGCATTCTACATGTCATATCTGATTACCTTCCAAACTCTTCACCTGTGAACACCATGTGGATTTTGTCGGCCACTCGCCCCAACAGTGTTAATTTGCCAAGAACTTTGGTCAAAAATTATCACTTATTTTATCACCAAGTTTTAACAACTCCCCAAAGACGTTGAAATTATTTGGCATCAAGAGATTCAACTGCTGACAACACACTTTCACCCTTTCCTGGTTACTTTTTCATGATATTGAAGCACACTTATGGAGTTCACTTCAGCAAGAAGGTCTAGTTCTTTCATTCTAGAGCTTTATTACTAACCAAAATAATTGACTATTTTTAAAAACCAACCAGAAATTATTGAGATAAATAAAAAAACTAATTTTAAATGATAAGAAATGTATTTTCCAGCAAGTGGCAACTCCAACAGTAGTCAAGAAGATCCTGAGGATGAAGCAGGAGCAACCAACAATGTTCGCTTGGGAAATTCGTGAGCAATTGGCACGACAAGGAGCCTGTGATCCTCAAAGCTTACCATCAGTATCTTCAGTCAATCGAATTCTTCGAGGTGGTGGCTTGCACACTGATCATCCAAGTATCGATGCTGGATCATCTGCTACTTATCAAGCTCACGTACCACCAAATCCAGAAGCTCGAGGTATTGTTTTTTCATCAACATTCTTTTATCCTTCAACAATACCATCTTCTTTATTTACTTACCAATTATTTTATCATCATTATTAGAAAAAATAATTTTATTTCTCTCATTATTTTAACAATTAAATCTACATTATAATTAAATAAAAATACCTAGGTATTATCAAGATCATTTTTTCAACAATATAATAGTTCCTAAACACCTGTCGCTTACTCTAAATCGCTCTCATCCAGACTTTCATTTTATTTATACTCTTTACCTCTAGTACATAAAATAAAAATCAGTAGAATCCTCTTTTAAGTTGAGATTGAAACGTCAATCTAGCTAGCACGCAACCAGAAATTTTAATAATTTAATAAACGAAAGATTATTTAAATAAAATATTCATTCAAAGTCATCAACAATTGATCAAATAATTGAATGATGTTGAACTTGAAGGATTAAAAAAATAATTCTTGGTATTTTATATCTTCACTCATTGATAGAGGAATTTATTTGGCAAGAATAAATACATTTATTGAAATTATTTCCAGCATTTGATACAAATAAATATTTATTAGTATTTAATAAATTTTCTTTGCAAAGTTGTCTAATGTTATTAACAGGTTATAATGTAATTGCTAATAATAGTTATTTTATTACTTTATTCATTGCCAAGTCATTATAATGATAACATAACCTAACATTTTAATCGTTAATTTTACCTTACTTCCTGAGTTCAATCAGAGTATTTGGATAAAAAAGAAATATAGGTTAATAACTAAGAAATCATTTATTTGAACTAAATAAATCTACTCCAATAAATGATTTTTTAATTGTTAATAAACATTTATTTAATTTTTTTTTTTTTCATATTTATCAGCTGCTGGTAAATTATTTTACATTCAAAGAAATCCTTCTATCAGTGCATGTATTTTCCAAGAATCCTTTGTCAATCGCGTGATCAATTGAATTTCTCTTACTGAAATGTAATTGTATGCATTGCAATCAATATTCACTTGTTTGACACAATAATTGAGATCAGCAACACACGCATAATGTACGTAGATAATTATTATTTTCAAGTAAATAACAAAAAATGAAAGGATAAATCCTTGCCAGTAGCAAGTTTTGGTTATTGAAGACCAATTTTGATTTATGAATAATTATTTAATAATATCTGTGTGCTAATTTTCATGGCTAAATTCCTGTTTATGACTGATGTGGATGATCTAAGGTTACTTTTGATCCAACTGAAACCGCTGTATTATCATTTCAGATGCCCTCATGAGGACGGATTATCAATTGTTTTATCCTGGATCACTTGGACCCCTGCACATCACTACCAGTGGATCAACTGGAGCTTCAAGTACACCCACGTGGAATCCTGGCTTCTATTCTTCACTCTATCAAGCCACGACATTGCATCTGCATCATGGAATGCAGCCATTTACGTAAGAGAATTTTTTTTATTTTTTTTTGATAACAGAGAAATAGTTAGGGGAATAATAGCCATATTTAGGTGTTACTTTTTGATTTGAAGGTTTATTTTTATTTTCAAGTCGGTGGATGGAAAATATACACATTTTTATCTCAGTGCTTGTAATAAATAATAAGTAAATAGCTTTCACATGTGTTCCAATTAATTGGATAGTTACAGAAAATCACGACAGAAGTACTATGTTAACTTGAATACACAAAAAAAAATTTTTAATCATGTTATTGCTGAGAAAAAACTCTAGTGACAATATTTCCGCACGCCGTGCGGTAAAACTATCATTTCTGGCTTCATTATCCTGACCTTTTAATCAAATACAAGTGTTGTGAACAATAAAAAATTGTCTTATCACGGAGATTCTTACACAATTTAATCAAAAAAATGATTTAGAATGAATATTCATCGGCTAAAGTGCTGAAATGATACTATTTCCTCACGGCGTTTGGTAATATGTTCATTCCTAGCTTCATTACTTCATTCTTTTAATAAAAAATTGTTTTATTATTGAAATTCTTAAATTACTTTCTTAGTGAAAATGATTTCTAATAAACATTAATAGATCTTCGTGTGGAAATGATACCATTTCTGCACTCTTCCCTACCTAAAAATAATGACTTGCTTTAAAACTGCTGTATTTTAGTGAAAAATCATCGGATTTTATTCAACCAAAGCTTGTTTTAAAGCTTAAAGTCTCTACTTTCATGATCAACAATCATTAAATTTTTTTCGACCTCTTTAAGACCTTTTTTAAAAATCATAAAGTGAAATAAAAATTTCCACATGTTTAAATATTAGGATGGCATCATTCCCTTACTTTTTTCTAAATATTTTTTTTAATCAATCATTTAATAAATTAATTATTCAAACAAATAACAATAATTTTTATCAATTAACTCAACAGATCCCTGGATGCCGAGCGCCTAACTGAGCAACAAAATAACCAAAGTGCTGGAGAACTAAAATCAAGCTCAAGTTCAATGGCAGGAAGTGATGATTCTTTAGACAAAAGTGATTTAGATGATAACAATGAGTCTCAAGATAACTTCAAATCATTCCAAAGTTCGCCAATAATACTGGAATTAGGTCAGAAAATTGGCAGTGATCGAAGTGCATTTGTAAGACATGGAACACCCAATTCATCAAGTACTTTTGATAATTCACGAACGAGTTCGACTTCTAGTGTTGCTGAAGAACAACCAAGTAGTCATCAGACGATACGAGAAGCTAACATAGATCAAGTTACAGTAGAAAACCAACCAGTTCAACCTCAAAGGAAGAGAAATCCTTACTCGATAGAAGAGCTATTGAAAAAAGATGAAAATGAAGTAACGAGTAAACGACCAAGACTCATTACTGCTGGAGTTGTACAACCTTGTGGAATAATTGTAGGCAAAGAAGATTAGTTTGTTAACAAATATTAAGTCATAAATAAATCTGTTCTAACAAATGAAAAAATTTTACATTTAGGCTATTAAATTATTGTAAAACTGTAGAGTATATTATGTATTAAAAACAGATTAATAAGAAATCATTTATTAGTATCATAAAATATTGTGTGAAAAAGGACAGATTTCAATGTAAATAATAAATAATTATTTAAATGTTATTTTTAGAATAGATTAATTAATAATTAAAGATTTAATATTATTGTCTTTTCAATTAGAAGTAGATTCGAAGATAAGATGCAACTTATTGTCGTTATATTATTAGAATAATAATCAGTTGTGAAAAACAGTATTATATAATGTAGAAGTTTCAATATAATCAGACACTGAATTGCTTATATGATAATACAAAATACTCACAGTTATACCAATGGTGTATCATCATCTGTTATGTCAAGATGAATACACATACTATCAAAATACTCGAGCGTTTGGATGAATAAAAAGCTCATGTTGTAAACGAATGTAATGGTCGTAAAACCATAAATGCCGTAATTGTACGCAAGAGTTTAATAACTGTGAGAAAAAAATAAAGAATCATAATAAAATATTATGTCATGTAAAATAAATACCAGTGTTCTTTTTATTTTATTATTACCTTTTTTGTTGCATTTGGAATGTAAAAAAACCTCTTGAATATTTTTCTAAAAATCGAGGGAAGGAGAGAAAGAATACTTTTTTACACTAGTGAGGTAATATTTGTTTCATTATTGAGGTGCGTTTGGAAATTTCGTTTATTTATGTAAGAGGTTGGATTGTGATGGAGAAAGGATGATTCGGGTGATGATTCTTATTGGGGAAATAGCAATTCGGAATTTGAATGATGGGGAAGAATTTTGGAACGATCCAATTGTTAGGATACAAGAAAGAGAAATTTGGCAGCAGACTTTGATGACACATGGAATGATGATGATTTTATGAATCATGATTTTATGGGGTGAGTTTTGATTGAATTAGTGGGGTAGGAAAAGATGATTTGAGCAGGAAAATAGAAAAGGATAGAATTTTTTGATTTTGAGAATATTTATTGAGTTGAAGTGGTATGAGGATGATAGAGGAACTAGGGAAAGGAAAGGGGAAATTTTTGGATTTTGCAAAAATTATTGACAAATCGTAATTTATGGTCGAATTATGATTCGAGAGGTTTGGTCGGATAGAGCGTGATGAGATAGATTGCAAACACTGGTTGTCGACCTCAAAAGAGCTTATTAATTGAAAGATATTTGAGAAAAACTGCAAAACTTAAAAATATGCATAACAACAGTCCCCTCTTTCTTGGTTTTTTTTTGTAAAGAAATATTGGATTTTTTATGAGACAATCAACATGATTACCGTAATATTGGTGAGACTGTTGAAATTTTAACAGAATTTAACTTTTGGAAGAATATTTGGTTGATATTGAATTTAGAAATTATTATTTGGAGTTTTATTTCGATTTTACGGCGAAAAAGGTTAAAATCATAATTTATGTTTGGATCATAAAATTATGGATGTCAATGGGAAGATCTTGATGAGACGATTCCAAAACACTGGCTGTTGACTTTGTTTTGTTGGAAAAAACATGAGATATTGGCGAAAATCTGTAGAACATAAAAATGTGCATAACTTCTATGCTAATGATGGTAGGGGGTTGATCGAGGGCTCATATGAAAGATCTGGACCTGAGTAAAAAATTTGATCCCCCCTATAGGATATCCCCGTCAAAAATGCCGTATCTCGCTTAGTTTTCGAGTTATGAGCGTTTAAAGGTTTTTCTATGATTTCGCGCAGCATAACTTTGTTTTCTGCTAATAACTCGGGATCTATGAGGCCTACATGAATAATAAGGATATCAATGGATTCGTGAGAATGTCAGCTTTTTATTGCACTAGTCAAAATTATGATTCGAGCATAATTTATGCTAAAATTGGAGGAAGTTCCGGTTTTACCCCATTTCATGGGTGAAATAATTGATTTTTCATATGTTCGACCGGATTTCGGAATTCTACGCATTGAGACGAAGAGAATGAGTGGTCGAACTTGAAAATCGGACAACTTTGATTTTTCGACCCCAAAAAATGGCAAGTGGTACCCCTTTCCATTTTTTTTGGCCAAAAAATAAAAGTACTCCGATTTTGATGATCGAGGGCTCATTCTCTTCGTCTTGATGCCTAGAAATGCGGAATCGAGGCCCAGCCCAAGAAAATTCACTTTAACACACTTAAAAAGGGGTAAAACTGGATACAAATTACGAATCATCATCCCCTTGACTTTAAACCCTCATAACTCATGAACGGTCAATCCAATTATCGTTTTTAGGGACGTTTTATAAACTTTAGAATCTAAGCTACAGATGCATATCCATGAAAAACGTGTAAAAAATTTCTTTCACCCTCAAAATTGCCAAAACATCCGGCAAACTCCCAAAAAAATGTGACTTTTTTTTATATTTTAGCGATTTTAAGGGTGAAAGAAATTTTTTACACGTTTTTCATGGATATGCATCTGTAGCTTAGATTCTAAAGTTTATAAAACGTCCCTAAAAACGATAATTGGATTGACCGTTCATGAGTTATGAGGGTTTAAAGTCAAGGGGATGATGATTCGTAATTTGTATCCAGTTTTACCCCTTTTTAAGTGTGTTAAAGTGAATTTTCTTGGGCTGGGCCTCGATTCCGCATTTCTAGGCATCAAGACGAAGAGAATGAGCCCTCGATCATCAAAATCGGAGTACTTTTATTTTTTGGCCAAAAAAAATGGAAAGGGGTACCACTTGCCATTTTTTGGGGTCGAAAAATCAAAGTTGTCCGATTTTCAAGTTCGACCACTCATTCTCTTCGTCTCAATGCGTAGAATTCCGAAATCCGGTCGAACATATGAAAAATCAATTATTTCACCCATGAAATGGGGTAAAACCGGAACTTCCTCCAATTTTAGCATAAATTATGCTCGAATCATAATTTTGACTAGTGCAATAAAAAGCTGACATTCTCACGAATCCATTGATATCCTTATTATTCATGTAGGCCTCATAGATCCCGAGTTATTAGCAGAAAACAAAGTTATGCTGCGCGAAATCATAGAAAAACCTTTAAACGCTCATAACTCGAAAACTAAGCGAGATACGGCATTTTTGACGGGGATATCCTATAGGGGGGATCAAATTTTTTACTCAGGTCCAGATCTTTCATATGAGCCCTCGATCAACCCCCTACCATCATTAGCATAGAAGTTATGCACATTTTTATGTTCTACAGATTTTCGTCAATATCTCATGTTCTTTCCAACAAAACAAAGTCAACAGCCAGTGTTTTGGAATCGTCTCATCAAGATCTTCCCATTGACATCCATAATTTTATGATCCAAACATAAATTATGATTTTAACCTTTTTCGCCGTAAAATCAAAATAAAACTCCAAATAATAATTTCTAAATTCAATATCAACCGAATATTCTCCCAAAAGTTAAATTCTATTAAAATTTCAACAGTCTCACCAATATTACGGTAATCATGTTGATTGTCTCATAAAAAATCCAATATTTCTTTACAAAAAAAAAAAAACCAAGAAAGAGGGGACTGTTGTTATGCATATTTTTAAGTTTTGCAGTTTTTCTCAAATATCTCACAATTAATAAGCTCTTTTGAGGTCAACAACCAGTGTTTGCAATCTATCTCATCCCACTCTATCCGACCAAACCCCTCGAATCATAATTCGACCATAAATTATGATTTGTCAATCATTTTTGCAAAATCCAAAAATTTCCCCTTTCCTTTCCCTAGTTCCTCTATCATCCTTATAAATTAGGCTCCAAATTTTCTGAATTAGCATCATATCTACCTCTTTTGACACCCATTTCATTTATTACCAAAAATGCAATCATGGTAGATTATTTAACGAGCCTTTCACTGGCAGATTATGTTCTATACTTACTCTCGGTCTCTGAAAAATCCAATTGAGCCCTTTTTTTCAAAATAACCATGGTTGTTATTATTGATTTGAATAATTTACCGCCTCGATGCCAATGGTAAGTTACCGACCGTGCTCAATAATGTACCGACGGTATTCTAACAAAATTTACCGACTGTGTTCTACCGAAAATTACCGACCGCGATCTAATAACAGTTATCGACTGTACATTTGTTACTAACCATTATTTTAATTAAACTAAATGTTTTTTTTATTATTATTGAAAATTTTCTAACTCTTATTCAGCAAATAAGCAATAGTAGCCTGTACCTTCTCTCTAACAATTTATATCCCTAAACTATTTATTAAAAAAAAACAACGAAATTTATTTTCACAATTATTTATTTATCTTACGTGTTTTCATATACAAAAATATCAACTTAACAATAATTTATTAGTCCTAATATTCCATAATATGTTCATAAAAATCAGGAACATCTGATTTTCCGCCACCTTAACATACTTTTGTTCATTGATTAGTCTTAAAGATACACACTTCCATCAAGGTAACTAATTAGTAATAATTTTACAACGGTAAATTACTTAATAAACTAAATAAATGTAATTTTTTAATCCATAAATTACATAAAGATATCCATTTACATGATTTTAAAAAGAAAAAAAAAATAATAATAAATCAAAGTAGTAAATAAAAATATTTGACTTTGATTTATTTGCTCTGATCACATCAGGATACCATCAGTCAACATTATTGCACCTTTTAAAGTTGAAAATTACGTTGTGAATGATTCAACGTATTTGTAGAGAGCGTGTGAACAGGATGTGTTGGTCCAGGTGAATACAAACTATGATGAGAGTGAGATTTTGCCCGCGAAAGCTCACTATATCTATCCTGTTCCGGTGGTGCTACAAGCAAAACTGGACGAAGAGAGAGTGATTTCCGTGAGCCAGCAACACTTTGTGCTTCATTAACATATCCTGGGTTTACTTCACCTGCAATAATTATACATTTCTTAGTTAAATCAACAAATAATATTTTTCATCAAAAAATATTCTTACTCTAACACTTAATAACATTTTATTACTATACTTAATAAGATTTAATCTCAGTACTTTTATTGTTTATGTCGTGATATTTTATACCTTTGTAAAGAGATCCATTATTAAAAGGCTCTGGTTGAAGTCTCACGTGTCGCGAAGCAAGAATAAATGCAAGAGCAGCAAGAGTAACTGCATCAAGAGCTGCTATTGCAGCAAGTGGAATGGCCCATCTTATGGCGCAAGCACCTGGATTATACCTGTAATTATGACAACTCTTAGTGATGATGAATCAACATAACTTAAAAAAATGTCAATAGATGATGTTGATGCCTTTGATGATGCTAGGTGATTAGACCAGTTGATAAACATCATTCAGAAGATGGACAAATAATTAAAACTACAAATAAAAATGCACTACAATAATTGTTATCTTTTAAAACAAAGTCTAGTTAATTAAAAAATATAACATTCTTTTAATAAATAACGATTTTCTATTTTTCGTCCATCTTTTAGGCTTAGCTGTCCAGCTATTGGTCTATCCTGGTTAAATATTCTGATAACAACTGATAGAATCCAATCAAATCCAACAGATTTTCAAGTAAGATCAGGTTGATTTACAATAAGTTTTTCGTACTCCAAGTAACAATCAAGTTCAAATGAACTCACAAGAAAAAAACATTGAAAATGATGTACTAATGTGTGGGTAATTAAAAGATTATCCTTAGACTAATTAATATTTATCAAGCTTCTAACAATTCTCTTGCTCTTCAGTTCAAACTATATACTTATCCTATTTTTATTATCAATTTATTTCTCTTGTTTTTTCTTCACACAGAATTCTTTTATTATTTTCTTCACCTTCCCACACAATTCTTCCGCCATAGCATCAACAATAATCAATTACCTAGATGCTGATCCTCCACAAACATTCCGAATAACTGGTGAATCCCATCCTAATGGATAAACTCCAACTCCAACACCCATACAGATAGCTAGAAACATCAACAAAAAATATTATTCACCATAGGAACCAATTATTCATTCATAACAATGATGTAATAAACAGAAAGAAGAAAAAAATGAAGTAAAAGAGTTGAACGTTAGGAAGTGAGTAAATAATTGTTATTAAATTTCACACGGTCGAGTGAAAAAAAAGTCTTTGGCATTTGAGTGCATCGATAAGGCGAGGTCGGTAGTGAAAGGGACCGGGAAGGCCTCACCTACAAGCTAAGAGGTAAGTCATTTAACTGTTATAATGTCTAGATTGTGTATAGCGTAATTTTGTTACGTTCTATCAGATATGAGAATCCAGGATGTAACTAAATACCAACCTTTAAGTATTCCAAGTATACCTAAACATTAAATTCTTCTTCGTAACATGCTAGAATTGATCAGCATTTTTCCAATGATTTATTTAATCATTTTACATAGACAAGTTTAATGACCTCGAGCTATTAAAGGATGCAATTTAATGGAAATCACAGACTTTCACTCCGATTTCCTGTTGTTATTTTGCCAAAGAATCATCATAATGACAAAAAAAAGAAAACAAAGTGAACCAGCAAATTTTCATTGACAATAAAAGAAAGTTTACTAATAATTTTGTTGATGAATCAGCGAATGAAAGTAAAATAATTTCACAATAGTCAGCAATTAAATTTAAAATTGAGGTCTTTATAAGACATTATAATAATGGAAGAATTAAATGAATAAATTTGTAATCTTAAATGAGAATTAAATGGATAAATTCATTTACCAGAAATAACTTGCATCCATCCACAGATATAAAAAACTGTGGTACTTTGGCAGAAGAAAAATAATAACATAGCACAAATGGATAATAAAGCTATTATCACTGCAATTCCAACAAGAACTGTACTGGCTTTGAATGGCACATTTGCTATTGTTGATAAATCATCTAGACGTCCAATGCACTCTTCACCAACCTCACCTATAAAACAAGAAAAAAAAATCCATGAGTTAAGCTTTTAAAATATAAAATAATAATAAATTAGTATGATGAATATTAGAACTAGCTGTGATTTATTGCTAAATATTATCAGTATTTTTCAATAATAACTAGGGGTTTTAATTAATATTGACATTGGTTACTAGATCAGGACCTAAAGATGGTAAAAAAATCAACACCGATATTGTGATAGATTAATAAATAATGAAAATTGTTGAGTAAGGATGAATTGAACTGGTATCCAACTCAACAATAATCAATAGAATCCATTGTCTAGGTGTTTAAAATGAATAGAGCCTGGAGTTGATGGTAATTAGCACCAAGAAGTGACCTAGCTTGTGTTAATAATAAATGAATTTATTTTCAGCTGAACTGAAAGAGGTTTATAATGATTTATTAATTAGAAATTTACCTTTATAGCGAGAAAATAAATACAAATAGTTACCATTAGATCCATAACTACAACGAGACCAGAGTCCAAACCTTCCAGGATTCTCATGCTCCAAGTCTCCAATCCATTCAGGGGTCACGAAAGTCACAACGCCAATGATTGCATAACAAATAGTAAATATTCCCCATAAAACACCAATGGCTTTTGAATTACGAACGTAATTAGTTGCATACATCTGCGAAGACTCGACATATTCTATTTTAGATCCCATTTTAACTTAATTTTAGCTGAAAAGAAATGTATAAAAATATCAAGATTAAAACTTTCTTTTATAATTCCTAGTATTTTTATTTAAATTAATCATAATTATTAAATTAAATAATTTTAAAATAAATCTATTTATGTTGTGTGACATTTATCAGACAATTTTTAGAGCGATAAATAGCTTTTATTTGGTTAGTTATTTTTTTTTATTGGTGTTCATTGTCCATGGGTCGTTTAACAAGTAATTGCAATTCGTGATATATTCTAGTGCATGATACAAATCATTTAATTATGTTATTAATTATTGTTAAAGTGTTCTTTTATCTTTTATGTCAATTTTACTTTTTAAAATTATCAAATTATTTAACAAACATCACCATTAAGAGTAATTACTCCAAAATAAATGGACTTTTTTGTTAATTTTACCTGAATAATGATAAATAGCGTCTAAAACTTGATCCAGACTAATGATTTGTTAATATAAAAATACAATTCATTAAGTTTCAATCTCGAATAATATCTGGGTCCTTTCCATTGCCTGGTTAAATTAAATTCAAGCAAAAATGCTCATTAAAATCACTTGGGATGAATCATTACAAAATATTATTGACTTCACATCGATACATTGAATCACAATCACTTGTCTGCACTCACTTGTTGCATTTATTAATTTTGAATTAATATTTAATCACATTAAAATCACAATTATGTATGTTAGTAGGATCCAGCAGTCACAAGATGATAAATAATTCACTGTGTCCAAGCTTTTCTTGATGAATGTTGTCAACTCTAGATGATCAGATTAATCTAACAGGTTAAGTTGATGATGCTGAAGAGTATGGAGTTAGAATAAATGGTCAAAATATTCAATTGTTTTGACAGATGGACCACAGTATATACGTTGAAAGGAAGACAGACTCAAAATGGCCTCTCAGGTAAGAAGTCGCGAGGTAAAAGAGGACCGTTAAATGGGCCCTCATCGGAACCTCAAAGCGCACGACGACTACGGGAAGGTGAGCAATATCAGGAGAATGGGGAAGGGGCCCCTTCACTCTTCGCTGACATTTCTCTCTATTTCACTCCAAGTTTTATTACACTACACATCTATTACATACTTGGAAAGATTTATAACAGGTTTCTAATATTTTGCAATGAGTTTTTTGATGTTTAGCAGTGATATTTATTGCTAATAATCATATTAACCTCAACAAAAATAATTTAATGATCAATATTTATGATTAAAACACTTGCATTTCTTAAAATTTCTGTTATTTCTTCAGAATTGTGATATTTTGATGCTCTAAAAGACTTTTCTTAGAAAAAATTCAAAAGTGAAAGAACTTTTAGGTCGGTAATTTGACTAAAAAGTTCAATATCAAGCCATAGATGTCGTTAGTGTTTTTTTATGACCGGTCGGTAACTGTTTTGTAATTGTCAAAACAATAACGACGCAAATTTGATTAACTGAATAAATAATGATATTATTGAATAAATAATGGTATTTGTTGATAACAAATAATGTTTATCTCATGGATCATAACTGGAATAATAATAATTTATAATTATTTAAAAAAAAAATTCAATTGTGCTTATTTTATCGACAATCAAATAAATAAAATTCAAATTTTATATCACAGCAATAATTATTTGATTATTAATAAACCATATGACATTGTAATTAATAGTGACGATGTTAATGTTAAGGTACTATTTATAATTAATTAAAAATTAAAATTATTTTAGCTTAATGTAATTAAATGTAAGCATTATTTCTTCCAGTCATTGCAGACAGAATTAAGGAAAATATTTCCAAATTTAGCTAATCCATTATTAAAACATGAATTTCATTTTGTTCATCGTCTGGATTATCCAACAAGTGGGGTCATGTGTGTTGCATTGAATAAACATTCAGCTCGAGCGGCATCAAATGCTTTTGAAAGACGATTGGTTAAAAAATATTATCTAGCTTTAGTTCATGGTCACATCAAAGAATCGTTATTAATTATTAATCAACCAATTGGTACACCTATTCTTCTTGAATTTATTCAATGACTTATAATCTATAATTCACTTACTAAATTTGATTCTCCAGGTCAAGATAGCAGGGAGCTGATCGGAAATAAAAAAATGTGTCCAAGTGATGATATTTATTGTGAAAAGCCTAGAAGCTGTTGTACAGCATTACTAGTTTTAGAAAAGGGTTTAAGAGATGGTAAACCAGCTACAAAAATTCTTCTAAGACCTTCAACAGGACGTAGACATCAATTAAGAGTTCATTGTTCTTATATTGGTCATACCATTATTGGTGATTATACTTATAGCAATAGAAAGGACTCTATACCTCATAGGACTTTTTTACATTCCTTTAGGTAATATTAATTATTTATCTATCACCTTTAGAATAACTGACATTCGCTTATTTTAAAAAGTTCGCAAAAATCTGAATAAATTCATGAGTCTTCTTGAAACTCTTAATGAATAAAAAATAAGAATTATTTTGCAATCTATTTAAGTGTGCTGTAGTTACTACCCAGGAAAGAATGAACAAATCTTATTTGATTTGATCTATTTAGATCCAAGTAGATGCCAATTTTGGGATCTAATTGACCTTTTATAACCTAAAATTGATAATAATCTTAAAATATACTAAATAATGAAAAAGAAGTGCAGGCATTTTACCTCTGGTTAAACATTCCAATTCGAAAGAATCTTTAAACTCCATTTCTGCATTAAAAATTTTTAATTCAAACTCTCCAATAGAATCCAATTGGTTCCAATAGACCCAGGGATCCAAGTGATTCATGGTTGGGGTTTGAGGGTTGATAATAACAACACCTTAAAAATACTATGTACACGAAATTATCATTATTTTTAACCTACTCTTAAATCATATTATTACCAAAAAAAAATTAAATTTTTTTACAGATTAATTTTAAAAAGTGAAATAGAAAGTGTTGATATTCAAACACCAGATCCTTTTAACAGTGATGTTGATCTAAACAAATGGATTCCTACAACAATAGTGAGGACTCTTGATGCCACTGCATTCAAAACAATTGATCAATTGATTTGAAATAAATCATCAGATTTCAATCAAACCAACAACACCTGATTGTTGGATATCAAAAACTAATGATTCTCTTGCTAAATAAGGTGATTCACGAATATGAATATGTCGTTGATTTCTTATTTTACAAAAACAAAATGAATTTGTTACTTGACAGGCCCAAACACTGCCAAGAACTGGTTGATTGTTGCTACAAATTCCATCAGTCTTTGATGTATTTCCCATGGCTGAGGATACTTGGTTTATACATACACAACAGATACCATGGCTTTTGGAGTAATTATGCAAAGTTAGACCAATACTTCTCAACAATTTAGCTCTGTGTTTTAACTCTTTTGAATCAAACTCAACTCGAAATGGAGCTGCTATTGAATCAATGACAATTAATCCAATTTTTTGAGTTAGTAATAGACTTGGTATTCTATATTTTACACAAGATTCTAAATCACTCTAGAAAAAAATGAGATTTATATATTTACTTATGCTTTTGTTATTTATTTAAAATGTATAAATATAAATCTTTTACCTACCACAGTAGAAATATGTTCTATAAAAATAACATCTCCATTTATTTTATATTGTTTGGCGACAGGAGAGAATTTTAATAATTCTTGGAGCCTATTTGATGGAAACTTAGACTCGGTACAAATATAAATAGCACCTAATAATTATATTTATTTATTTATTTCCATTTTTAAACATTTTATTAACCATAAACAATGATTGTTTACCGGCTTTATAACCTCCTGATGATGGAATTTGTGAGGTTAAACACAGTTGTAAAGCCAATTGTGTTTTACCAGTACCCGCTTCACCATATATTTGTGTTATTCCACTTCTAGAAAGTCCTCCTCGTAGAAATTTATCAATTATTGCACACCCAGTTGATAAAAAACGATCTTTTGCTTCATTTAATTGAAGTGCAGTTGGAAATTCATCCATTGTTTTTCTTTTTAAATTCCTCCTGCATGTAGAGAGCTCACATTTCAAATAAACAAAGATAGAATTTATTAATTTAAATATTCTTTATTTAATAAAATATTTTTTTAAAAAGTTTAAATATCGTAAAATTATTTATATAGTCATTCTATTCCTTTTAATAGAAAATTTTTATTTAAAAAAAGATTTTCATTTTTTTTTTCTCATGAGTTTCTACCTAGTTGTTCTATGTAATTAAATAATTTATTTATCTAAGTTTTATTGTTCGAATAAAATTCTATATAAATTGATATAAATTGTTATTTATAAAAAAAGAAATGTTTATTTATTCTTATTGACGCGTTCCTGCCGCTGCTTTTTGTTGTGCTTGAATGAATTCTGGATAATCAATGTAACCATCTTTGTTCACATCATCCATATTTAATATTGGATCGATTAAATTAATTAATTCATCGTCTTTAAATAATTTTCCTTCAGCTGCATTCGGCTGATTGGGATCCTTATGACCTTGCTCTAAATAAGTAATAAAAGCAATCAATACCAATTGATAAATGAAAAGGAAAAAAAAAAATTTACCCACCATGCCAATGAATTAGTGACTTAATTAATTCACAACCATCTAATTTATTATTATTATCAGCATCGTGCATCTTAAAGTAATGGAATTGCAATTCTTGTTCAGACATTTTGCTAGTGTCTATAGGAACATCCATATGTTCTTGGATATGTCTAGAATAATAAGAAAAAAAATGATTCTCTCTGTTTTGGAGTAACAAAAAGGTACTTACGCTTTTTCTTGGGCAATATTAGCAGCATTTAATAACTGCTGAGGTGGAACATCATGACTGTGAGCATGTCCGTGTTGTTGAACGGGCACATTCTGGACGGGTACATGTTGCTGTGGTGGTGCTTGTTGATACTTGAATATAAAATAATTTATTTATTTCAAAAAATTCATTCTTACTTGCAATATAACGTATAATTATCATTACTAACTTGCTGAGGTGGTGGTGGTTGCTGCTGATGAACCTGTTGTTGATGAGGCACATGATGTGCTTGTGGCTTTAAAAATAATTTAGAACTTGTTAATAATTAATCTAATTATTTTTTTCATTTTCTAACCTTATTTTTGGAAAAAAAACCGTTAGAAAATAAATTTTACCTGTTGATAATGCTGAGGCGGCACACCTGGAGCAACTTTTTGAGCTTGAGCATCACCCACTTGATATTTAGAAAATCCTAAGATACACAGCCAAAAGATCCAATTCATCTTGTGGCTTTTTCTAACATGTAATCAAAATATTAACAAATTAATATCGAAATGATATTATTCATTCATCAAATGATTTTTTAACACTCAATAAAAAGCACTGAAACATGTCAACAATATGTTGTAAAGTGAGAAAATAATTGAAGAATGTTTTTTTATTCAGAAAATAAAATTCTTAACCTTTAAAAGTCTATGTTATATTGAAGAATGAAATTGAATATTTAATTCTATAAATTTACCTTATTTACTATGAAATAATTATAAAATAATCTTTCATAAGCCTAATAAGTTTAAAAAATATGAATATTTTGTAGATCTGACTCCTAAATGACGTGGATCTCATGCGTTTTCATTTCTCCCACTTTTATATATTTTTCTTTAACACTAGGGATATTTACGTGAGTTAATGAACATCTAAGTTGGCAGTCATGATGGCGTACAGTGCCCTCTACATTGACTTTTCCCATTTAAATCCCCAGTACATGTATAACCTCAAATTGAAGCTCTTGCGGTATTCGTATATTTTAACTACAAAATTTTGATAAAAATCAACACGCAAGAGTTTTGGAACAAATATTAATAATAAACAGTGAAAGAGATAAGGTTATTGGTTACGATTCATCACGGAAAAAGTCAAAAATGTATATTTATCAATAAATATTCAAAAATAAAAGAAACATTGAGTGAGGAAGCTGCCAAAAAAACTTTTTTTCCATTCTAAAAATAATGATGGCGACTTCTTTATCATGTAAGTAAATAATAAAATTATCGAATCACTAAATTAGATAATTAAATAAACATCAAATACGTAATGAATTTTATAAATGTATTTTACAGCATATTGGGTTAAATTTTTCACTGCTGCTGGATTCCCACTTGATGTAGCAACTAAACATGCTGTTGTCTTTTCAAATAACCGTATCAAGCCTGATATGCTTCCAGATTTAGATAAACCAAGTCTGAAAGAAATGGGAATAACATTAATGGGTGATATGATAGCTATTTTACGTTATGCCAAGAAGGTTACAGAAGATATGACATGTGAAAAATTTTTGGTTGACACTGAAGAGCCAAAACTAATATCAAAGTCACCAAATAATCCAAAAGTTATTCAAAAGAAGGTTGTTACGAAGATTTCAAGTGTTGGAGTTGTGAATAAATCAACCGAAGGCAAAGACATGAAGTCTGTTGCTACTAAAAATAATCTAAAGAATCTAAAACCGTCTTCTAGTATCTCTACAGTCCCAGGATTAAAGAAAAAATTAGTATCATCTGCCACGAGAGTCGTAACACCATTAAAAAAAAGTTTAGTAGCTGACACGATGCCTAAAAAAAGGAAAGTTATTGAAGTTATTGATGATCTCGATTCAAGTGAAGATGAAAGTGATGATAATCAAGTACAAATACAGAAACGACTTAAAACATCTAATGATGATGGTGTTTATCAGGTAATAGTGAATAAGAAGAATAATTTAAGAGGTCAAGATATCAGAGAAGTCACAAGTATTGGAAAAAAAACTAACGATCAAAAGAGAACTGTTTTTGATCGATTAGGAGACAGTTCTGTCACCAGTACTACTAATTTAAATGATAATAATACCACATTTAGTATTACCGGAATTGGTACTGATGCTATTAAAAGAAATTCAAGTGTTTTTAATCGACTGGGTGATAAAGATTTAAAAAAAGATTCCAACAGTGCTGGAATATTAAAAAATGGTAATAATCTCCAACCTCAAGGAATTTTAAAAAGTAAACCTGTTGGTTCAAGTTTGAGATCTCCAAGTGTTCAAATGGTTAAATTAAATACTAAAGGAATGAAAGTTAAGACTGGAACAATGCATGCTGATCATGAAGGAATTAAAAAAGTTTCCACAAGTATTAAACAACTTGTACGAAACACCAAAGCTATGAAGTTAAATAATGTTCCTTCTATTACGAGAAAAATTCCTAATAATAAATTAGGTTTGTTTATAACTGATTATTAAATTTATTTAATTAAAAAAGAATAAGACTTTATTTCTAATTATGTGTTTGCTTTTTTTTTCGTTTTAGCTTCTGAAAGAATAAATTCATTACCAGCTAAAGCACGACTTGGACTTGGTGGTTTACAAAAGCAACAAAAGCAAGTGACATTTAACAAAGTAGCAACAGTGACACATATTAAAAAGCCTGGTGTATTTAGTAGGCTTGGCATTTAAATGAGCTTTTAAAAAAAAAAAAAAGAAAATTAAACATGCACAATTTCGAAAAAAAAAAACATTATTCATACTACTTTACTGTTTATAATAATTCATAATGTTTAAATATTATTTTTAATAATTAATAGTATCATTAATTTAATCACATACTATAATATTTGTCATGTTATCATTGAAGCATTTTTAACAAAAGAAAAATTGATCACATTTATTACTGAATTTGTGAATAATAATTAGTAATTATAGTAAAATTAATTGTTAGAATTTGTGAATGAAATTATTTTTATTAATTATAAAAGTTATTATGACAGTTGCATAATTTAATTATAAAATAGCGAATGAAAGGTTTGAAGTAATAAAATTCATTTGATGCAGTGGATTTTTTATAATTAAATTGTATAAATTTGTGTACATAACATTAACTTGTATTTTTCCTTTTTTTTTTTTTTTAATATATATATGTATATTATAGATATCTATATGAAGTCTTTTAACATACTTTTACATATTTTTACACTCAAACATTTTATTCATTTACTTTTTTTTTTTTTTCTTTTTAGTACAAAATTATTTGTTATCATGCTCTAATTTAAAATTTAATTATAATAAAATATTTGATAATTATTACCTCCGAGATCTGTAAATGTTTAATTCTTTTTCAAGTAAAATATTAAAAAATTCAAATTAACTATTTTTACAATTGTTATTTAATTAATTATAATTCTGTTAATAATTATTATCTATTTTGTTTTTTTTGTTTTTACTATAAAAATATTACAAAACTATTTGAGTTGATATCTCCAACAGATCTATAACAAAAAAAATAGTTAAAACATCCTATATTAGATATCTCGTACATTAATTAGAATTATTTCAACGTCTTTCTGTTAATTCTTTTTACTATTTTTACCTCAGTCTACATGTATTTTATGTTATCACAGATAATAAGAAATCCTTCTTTTGTACAAATAGTACAAGTCAGGAATGGTAATTGAGGGCAGTTGAGACGGATTACTTTTGTTTTTCAATACATTACACTTAAAAATTCAAATAACATTGAATTTTTTTGTCATTTTGATTAAAAATAACTTATTAATCGGATTGTCAGCAACTATTGGACGTTGGAAATAAGTTGTTCCATTGTCGTCTCGATGCCCAGTCATCGCAAGTTGAAGCTGAAACTTAAATATGTCCAAATACGGTCATAATTGTGTATTTTTTTTTCGAAATTTACTTAATTTAACAATCAAACAGAAAAGAAGAATCCAATTATTTTTCCATCGATATCTTTATAAATCAATAGAGAAAGATTTTTTGTTTTTTGGTTAACAATCATTTAATAAAGATGCAGAAAAAGGAAATATTTTTCTTTTTGTAAACAAAAATAATAATGTTGATAAATTATACTCAACCTGTTCACGACGATAATGACTAATTTTACATTAAAAATTGGACGAGTTTATTATTTGCTGTCCGGAGACCCAAGTCCCAGCCAGCAATGCGACAACTGTAACCATTCCAGAACGCTTTTAATAAAAATATGAACTATTAGCGTCAAAAAAAATCACATTTTTAAAAGTTTAAATAAATTTTATGGTTAAAATTAATAATTTATTATTTTTTAATTTAATAAATGTCTATCATAACCTCTTAATACTGATTTAGATGAATTTAAGAAAATAAATTAATTTATTTATACAAATAAAAATGTGATTTATAATTGAAAATTGACGCCCACCTCAATGAAAATGAAATATTCCAAGATCCAAGATCACACGTCCGCCTCATGCCCTGTAAAAATGAAATACACTTACAGTCTCGGAGGAATTGACGAATAATATAATAGTACTAATTAATTATACATAAAAAACAAAGTGTATGAATATAACATACATTTTCACTTACATATAAAAACGTCTAAACAGAATTTATAATACCCTGAATTAATCATTACAACTTAAGTCTACAAAAGAATAAAAAAGAAAAAAAAAGGTCGTTACATATTCCACTGCATATAATTTTACATTACCGACCATGATAAGTAAAACCCTTTTTTTTTTTTAATTATATTTTAAAAAGTAATCAGTTCTGTTGATGACTGGGTCCAGAGTCATGGATCATCGGAGTTGATGCTGTTGAGATGGCAAACGGAGCAAAATTCCAAAGAAATCCGTCCGGAGTTGACGTGAACGCAAACTCCGCTGTTGTCCAAGTTCTCGAAGAGATTAGCCGTGTCAATGGATCCATCATCTGGCCTGATGAAGTCAATGGGATCTGCATTGACGTCACTGTCGTTGATGGTGTCAAAAATATTGTTGTCCATGGTTAGTTGTTCGATTTCCTGATCTGTAACACCTAGATCAACACTGTCAACGGCTAAAGATGACAGCGGTTTCATGTCGATTTCGTTGATGGTGTGATTAGTAGCCTCATAAGTTGAGAATTCAGTCGACGAATCGCAATTAACCCCTTCAAAATCAAATAGTTGATGAGAAACACCTGGACATGAATAATTATGATCTGTTGGCTCCGATTCCGGAGCTAATACTAGATCATTAAAATCTATACCTGTTACGGATGTATTCACTTTATTCTCTTGATTATCGACCTCTTGACATTTCTTATTCCTCAAGATCTCGTTCATTGCCTTCAACAAGGCTGTGATTGCTGTGTTGTTGTTTAATATATTCCTGAGGTAAGAAACTTCTGCTTTTAACCTTTTGAGATCGATATCTTGTTTACCAATAATATTCTTCAAGTTCTTATGTTGATCGCGATAATGACTGAGTTTCTTTTCAATTTTCTCCAAATACTCTTTCTTCTTTTGACGATTCATACGTGCCATCATCGCATTTCTGTTCTGGCATGGCCGTTTTGATGGCCCACGGCCTCGTTTTCTTGGCTTTATTTCACTCGTAACAGTAGGTTTATTGCTTTTTAATTGAAACTCGTCGAAGTTATCGGAATCTAGGCCATTGCTCTCTTCCGACGACGATTCACTGTTCACGTAGATATTTGATCTCCTTTTTCCCGTCATTTTGCCACTTATGTCGTGTAAATAATCGACACTTGATGATTATTCTGCAATCAAGTCAGTTGTTTATATCTAATTGACACCAATATTTCTAGCAATTTCGTCAGAACTTTACTTACAAGTCACTCAAGTTGTGTTTCTGCGTCTTAACTGAAATAATCGAGCCACGAATGGATTCGGGAATGGTCGAAAATGGCGATCTCAGAGTCATCTAGTTTAAATATGTGCGCCATAAAATCAATTTCTGCGCATGCGTACAATAAAGCGCGAATAATTACAAAGGTTTTTTATCAATTACTTCATAATAATTAATTAATAGATAAAAACAATTATAATTTTACAAACTCCAAAAATGATAAATTGTTGTCTAGAGATTTTTATTTTTTTAAGTTTGAGCATGCCAGACATATTGTTTATTCGAGCAACCCTGTGGCACCCATAATTACAATTATTCTTGATTGTTGGTCAATTAAAACAATAATAAAGCTATTTGGAAAGAAAACAATCAAAATAATATTACATAATTAAAACCTATTGAATTAATAACCTCCAATTAATATTATTTTATTTCCTAACCTACATTATTTAACATAGACAAAGATTGATAATGAATGTTATATATTTAATAATTATTTAATATTCACATTTTACAGTTGGAAATTAATGTTTAATATCATACAAATTTTTTGGAGGTTAATAAACCTTGTTAAAACAGGGAAGGAAAGAAATATGAATCTACCAATGGCGGAGATAGTTTATTGTGAATGTTTTATTTTGAAATGACTTAGTTAAAACCTCTGATACATTGTTTTTGCTGTAATTTTTTTCTGAACAACCATCACCATAGTTTCTAAAATAAACAACTTGAGTATACGTCAAGGTATGTATAGTAAAGATTTTTGGGGTTTTCAGTAAACGGCGCAATGACAAATAAGAATAAATCAAATATTGACGGTAGTATATCGAATTATTATCAAAGTCTGATATTATTACGTAGGAATATAAATTATTTGGTTTTATTTGTCGGTTATGTGATGCCAATAAGCAGCAATAATTTAAAGTCACCGGTAACAAAACTGTTTGTTTTATTTCTTTAATAGTCTAAGTTTATAAATTCTAAATAAATATTTTTCGGATTAAATTGACTTACTACGTCTACCATAAAGATAAAAAATTAAATCAAAGTTTTTATTTTAATTACAGGGAACAAAATTGACTTTTAATTTATGTGGAAAATCAGCAGCATTACATGCTGATGATGTTGATCAAGATGATGGTCAATTTTTTACAATAGCACCAGCATTGCCAATATTACCAGGTGTTTTAACACCATCAAAACTTACCAAAAGATCATTTAGTTCATTAACAAGTCAATCAAGTTCAACACTTGGTTTGGAAGATGTTGAAATTGGTGGATGTGATGTTGTTGCACTTCAACAAAATGGTGAAAATAAAACAACGGTTGTGGCAACAAGAACACCAGCAGAAAGAGAAAAAAATCCCGATCGAATTTGTCTGGATAGACGTGGTCTTACGACCTTTCCAAATATTACTGGTGAACCCAAGCTACGGTTGATGTCACTTCAACACAATCTTCTATCACGAATTGAAGGCCAAGATTTTGTTCAATTAACAAAATTAGTTTTTCTCGATCTCTATGATAATCAGATAGAAAGAATTTTAGATTTAACTCCTTTAGAAAATCTGAGGGTTTTATTGATTGGAAAGAATAGAATTAAAAAAATAGAAGGGCTCAAATCATTGATCAAGCTAGAAGTTCTAGACCTCCATGGCAATCAGATTGTCCAGGTGTCGGGATTAGAGAATTTAACATCACTAAAAGTTCTTAATTTAGCTGGAAATAATGTCAAGATGATAGGATTTAATGATTTCCATGGACTGACATCATTGAAGGAACTTAATTTAAAGAGAAATAAAATAAAAAAGCTACTTGGTTTTAACGAAACTCCACAGCTACAAAAATTGTACCTGAGTAATAATGATATTCATAAGTAAGTTGAATGACGTAATTATCAATCATTTTAACTTTAATTATAATTTATTTTTGTATTCTAGAATTGAAGATATGGGAAGCTTAGCAAAGGCTTTGGAAATTCGAGAAATCACCATTGATGGAAATCCTGTTACTTTAAATGCAGATTGTATATCTTTTTTAGTATCTTATCTACCAAATCTTCAAGTTCTATCAACAATGCAAGTCAATGAACAAGTGAGAAGAGCAGCAATGGCTTGGAGAACAAATAAAGAACAATCAAATTCAGCTTTTTTGGATTTAAGTACCCAAGTATGTGTCAATGTTAGACGTGAAGAAGTTATAATAAATGCTAAAAAAAATTGGCAACTATTACGATCACAAACGAAAAGTCTCTCTAGTAAAATGAATAATCAAAAGAATGAAAAAGTACGGGATTATAATTTACAAAATTCAAGTAAATTTGATACAGTTAAATTTAAAGGTGGATTTGATGAGAAACTGATGAATTCGGCATCATTGACATCAATTAATGAGAAGGAAGTGAAAAAAATTCAGTTCAAAAAACGAAGTAATTCTACTGATGCTTTACTTCAATTAGATCATTCGAATAAAATTAATTTAGCATTAGATTTTAAACTGCCACCAATTTTAGTACCAATTATTAATAATATTACAAGTTGTAAGATAAATAGTAGCAGTAGTAATAGTAGTACAACTAATTTAGGAAGTATAAAAAATAGTTTAAATGTAGATAGTATGGATACCACCACTGACAGTGAATTTGATAGTTCAGAGAGTCATGAGAGTCTTAAAAGTGGACTGAGAAATCACTTGATTAATACCAATTCTCGTAGCCAGTCTGTTGATAATGATAACAAGAGTGTTTATAATTTTTCTAATATTCCTCAGCACCAGTTGAGTCTATTTAAAAATCATGAAATAATTAAAGCTAACAATAATAGTAATAATGATAGTGAAAGTGTAGAAAATAATGTGAAGAAATTAATTAATAATAATAATCAAAGTCAATCGAGAATCAAGCTAGGACTTTCAACAGGGAATTTGTGCAATTTGAAGACAGGAAGTTTGGATAGTAATAGTAAGATTATGAGTCAAGCAGAAAGTTCCAAGTCTTCGGATAATTATAATGATTCTGAGGATGAGAAGAGTAGAGTAAAGAGTGCACAAATAAAAAAAATTGTTCATTATAGAAGTAATAGAGCTGCCACTGCCAGAGCTAAACACCGAGCTGTCGTTACTCAGCCTCCTTTGATTCAATTTACAGTTCCAAAAGAAAAAGAACAAGGTTTGTAATTAGTGCATTATTAACTTAGGGAGAAAAGTAGGATATTCTGTTTTGAGGTTGGAAAAGTATACAGTATTTTTTTTCTTTTTTAGGAGGAGATTATTTGATAGAAATTGTCGGCCATTGTTTAAATATTTATGGACAAGGAGCTTTAAGATTTATTGATAGATCTTGGGATGTAGTAAAAGCTAATGATGTTAATACTGTTAAATTTAATTACGTTCAATTCAATGGAATAGCAACAATTCTTAGCAAAATAAAAATAAAATTCCCTAATGTGCAGCATTATATTTTTAAAGAAACTAATATCAGTCATCTAGGACAGATAAATGCTCTTGCTGAAGTTCAAGGTTTAAAAAGTATCCAAATTGATGCTGAAGGGAATCCAATTATTTCTAAAGACTGGAAAGTTTATGCTATTTTTCGACTTTATCATTGGGGCTTGAAGATGATTAATGGCAAAGAGGTGGATTTTATTTTTTTTATCAACTATTTTAAAGCATTTAATTTTTTTTTTTTTTCATTCAAATCATTTTTATTGGTACACTAGATAACTGATGATGATGTTGAAGCAGCAAACAAGGAATATTCAGGATTGACTGACATTGTTATGTGGTCGTTACCAGAGACATTATTACAACCTTTATTGCAAAGACTTGACTTGGAAAAGGTCCAGAGGCAGAATGGCGAACAAATTACTGCCAAGCAATTTTTATTTACCAGTGATCCAGCATTGAGAGATGTTGTTGCTAAAGAAGCTTTACAATGGCGAAGAGGTAATGTGACTCAAGTAAGTTAAGATAATTTTTATATAATTAAAAAGCAATATTATTAATTAATTTTAATTGTAATAATGAATTTTTATTTTTCTTTAGGATGATTTAATTTCAAGACACAAAGGTAAAGTTTATTTATCAAATTTTATTGATCAGACAGTAGATGCAATACAAAAGTTGCAATTACTTGAAGATGAATGGCCAAATATTTTGCATGAAATTGTTTCTCAAACATTAACGGATTACTCCAATATGAATTTATATATGAAGGAACAAAGCAAAATACTCGAATCAAAGTGATAATTAATAATTAATAGATTATATAAAATATAATTAATAAATAAAACAGAAAATCTATATATATATATATATATATATATATTAAAACTAGAAGAAAAAAACAAATGTATAGCAATATTGTTTTTAAATGAAACTTAATACGTCATTGTTATAGAATTATTTCAGTACAGTATTTGTATTAAACAAAAAAAGCGAATTTAGAAAAATAAAATAAATATAAAAAAAAAGTTATTTGTAATAAAATACTAATTAATTTAAATACTTTATGTTCCAATGATTGAATCAACACTGAATGAAATGACAGGTTTCTTGGATTTCTCTGGTGAATTACAAGATGATTCTTTGATAAAACTCGTTGCTGATTGTATTAAATGTGTTAGAGTTGAATTATTACATGATGTATCCATAAAATTAGTATTCCATGAAATAGTTGAGTATCCAGGATAGAATTTATCAATTTCCATTTGGTTATTAGTAAAATTAAATTTCTGTTCAGTTGAAAGATTACTGACAGCTGCACCAATGAGGTTATAATTATTCTGAATCACTAGAAAAATAATGATCCAATTGAATATTATTATTTAAAAAAAAAAAAATAATTAATTTATAAAATAAACAAAGACTTACAAGTATTTGAATGATGTCCATTATTGTTATCAATACCTTCAAAATTTTTTGTGACATTTATTTTCGTTTGGGTAACTCGGAATTGATGTTTTGGATAACCTTTTGATTTTTTATGATAAAAAATAGTACGAGTGGATCGATTATTAAGATTTAATGATCGATTATCAATATCAGATGATAATTGTAAATCATTAGCAATTAAACTGCTAATTTGTGTTTGCTGTTGTCTTCTCAAAGCCACCTGTGCAGCCATCACCCTTTGTCTTTCGACAACAAGCAAGCAACAAGGACATCGGCAATCTTTCCAAGTACACGATCGCTTATGGCCCTTTAAACTTGATATTATTCCATGATTACGACATCTAGCACACTTAGGACTTCTTAATCGTGGCTCTTTTATTTCAAATGGGCACAAATTATCACTTTTATCATCCATACTCCGATTTGATGATTGTTTTATGAAGGAATATACTTTTAATACATCTTAGAAAATGATTTGGCAAGATTTTATCATCCAAGAATAAGACTCCAACTGATCTCTCAAACTCTTTGAGCGCAACTAACGATCTTGATGCTGATTCTTGCTCCAAATGTAAACTTAATGCTTGTCTTAACATAATTTTCATTTCTCAAGCCAATGTATTTCTTCTCTAAACGATTTAAAATGTATTTTTAGTGTCGAAAGCGTATGATTGGTTGAAGACATCAAGTAGCCACGCCAGTATTCAAATAACGGACCTCCTCTTCTCGAATCCTCTCTCAGTTTCTAATTACATCCAGCCTTTGTAATTAATTAAAAGGTTAGGATATTAATTATTATTAATATGTTGATAAAAAAAATTATTAAATAGGTTAGAAAATATTTTGAATCAATTTGTTGTTAGTTAAGTTGGAGAATGAAAATATTTATAGGTTATTGGATGATAAATAAAATATTAAACCTATCTTTGGTATGATTATCTAACAGAAAAGTATTTTTTCTTCTTTATTTAGCAGCATAATATCAACATAAACGTTACGATATCTTCAATTCTTAAGATTCTTTCTTCCAATTCCTTGACAGCTGGGACCAAATGGAATTTTTCAAACAGCAAGTTGACTTAACTTTTAAGAGCTCGTTAATGCGATACTCTTATATGTTGCCAACGTACAGTTAATATTAGTTTAAAGCTTGTTTTTCTAACGCAAATATACCATCCGGATATCCTTTTCTTTTAAATAAGATTTCTAGATGGTATAGAATAACTTTGAAACCTATGATGCATATGCTTACATTAAACACATCGTTTTATGAAACATTAGCTTCTTCATACACTACACATTGTTTATCCTTTTATCGTTCAAATGTTTATCACACTTGAAAGATTTATTTCATCTTTAAATTTAGCGTTAGCATAACCTTTTTTGACATTTTACCTTTTTTTTTTTTGCTCTTGGTATTTTAAATACAATTCTACCAAATTCATCCACAATGCATTGCACTACTAGCGTCAATTGGTACATCGGAAAATTTGTCTTCAATTTCTTCCTTGTTCTTTTCCTTTATGAAGGTTTTTTAAAAGAAAAGTAAACCTAATATATTTTATTTATACTGTTTAATTATAAATTGATCATTCTAACCTTTTTTTTTTTATTCAACTGCCCATTATCTTCAGCAAGAATCCAATGTTTAGCATTCATGCTATGGTTAAACATTGGCAACAAATCATGAATTATCTATTTATCAAGAAATAATAAAATTTATTTTATATAATAGTAGATTGATATTTTGATAACCTCAAATTATAGATCCTTTATTGATTAATTATTTTCTAGACCAATAGATTGTGTTTGTGGAGCAGGAGCTAGAGATTTAGCACGTCAGAGAAGTGGTAAAGAGTAAGTAATAATAATTAAAATATTTATTTCATGATAAATTAATGATTTTTTGTTCATCAGGCCACCAAGAAGTCGATGTATCTGCAAACATTGGTATGTAATTAATTAAATGTTTTTTTTATTTGGTTAAATAAATAGTATTGATGATTTTTTCGTCTAGGAGAAAAGCTATTTATCCTTGTGGATGCAAAAGAAAAGCAATGTAAGTAAAATAAGATAAATAATTTCAAAGAATATTGAATAATAATTGTGTTTATTTGAATAAATGTAGAATTGACCAATGTGCGGGAAGACGGCCAAGTGTTTCACACAATCCAGATGATTCAAAAAAGAAACCATCATGTTGCTGCGGACATTAAATGTTTCATTAATAAGTAAATATTGTCAAATTACGACTGATTTTAGTTTTTGATAAATATTTACATAAATATTGATGTAAATAAATATAAAAAAGTAATAAGCACAAAGTATAAATGAAGGATAAGTAATGTGTCTTTTTCAATTACTGCAACAAAAAAATAAATTAAAAGATGCAATATATAGACTCTAAAGTTGACTGTCAGTTAAAAGTTAAAAGTGGGAAGTCCGAAAACGTATGAGATATTCAAAGTCAATTAATAAATGTCTAGTTGACTCTGACATGTCTATAAGTAGAACTTCAGGGTAGCTGACATACTTTACATTCACAATCATTCATGTCTGGTTTGAGACATCCATGACCCAAGATGCTTTTTCTTAATTTCATTACTTGACAATGTTGCAAATTTAAAAATATCTTAAAATATACATTTTGGTATGTTTTCATAACCAAAAAAAAAAACAACATTTAATAACCTTAAATATTATTTATAAATAAATTAATTTTTTAAATAAACAATAAAAGAGTTTATCATCTTCATCATTTCATCTACTCTTTTTACCGAAATTTTTCATCTTAATCTACTTAGGAGATTGTTGAATGCCAGGCTTTGTAGATGAATAACGTCAGCATATTACCTCTTTTGCGGTCTTTTATACCACAACTTTACTTCATATAAATATTTTTTATCATCATTTGTTCCATTTAAATAACTTTTTTTTTATTCATACAAGATATCTGGTTTTTTTAAATAAATATTTCACTAGCTTTTGGCTACTAGTGTTGTCTTCTTAATATTGCTCATTATTTTTGATTATTTCTTGCTAATAAATAAATAAATGTTTGTCTTATTTTTTCGATAATTTTCTGCTTAAATCATATGATTTTTTTCTCGTTACAATTTTATAAGAATCTTATATTTATTTACAGGTTATATATTTATTGAAATTCGTACTTTTATCATATCATCATTGTTTTGTTTTTCAAAAAATTGTTTATAAAAAATTAAAATTGTTATGATTCATATAAAATTATTAACAACAATATTTTATCAATATTGACTGAATTTTTTAACAATTCTTATCATATAATAAATAAATTTAACTTAAAAAAAAAGTAAGTGGAAAAATTACCGTAATTTTTCTGCATTTATTTTTAAATCTTTTAAAATGTTTTTAAATATTTTAAAAAGTAATGATATGACATAATTACGAATTTTAAAGATCGATTCCATTATAATAACTTGTTAATGTAAATTTAATAATATTTAAAAAATTGTTTATGCTTTAAAATGAAGCAGTACCTACATGTCCTAACCTATTCAATTAAAGCTAAAAATAATTATTTTTTATAATTACTGAATAAAATACTGAGTTTCTGGTAATAATTCATGTTTCTCAATGCAGCCTTTTATCCACTCACTATCAATTATTTTAATTGATGCTTTCCCTAGTTCATTCACTTGCTTATAAAGTTCAACAAGTTTTACATTATTTCGTCCACTATTATTATTTAAATTATTTATCAAATTATTTACAAACACATGGGTAGTTAAACTATTAATAGTATTGCTTAACTTTCCATTCATAAACAGAAATCCATATTTTCTCCAATCTGATACATCAGCAAAATAACCTACAATGTTTGTAAACAAGCTTAATTTATTGCTTCGTAATTTATTTATCAGTTTATCAGTATCATCTAGGGTATTTAAATTGACATTTAAATCATTCTTGATTAGACAAACTCTTTCCAATGATCTTTTAAGACTCTGTTCATCAGAATCTTCAACATAACTATCATAATATTCATCAAACTTCTTCATCAATCGTTCTTTGGTTACACTTCGACATGACAGTAATTCCCATGGATAAAAATCAACTAATTTAGCCCAATTATTTTTCTCAGCTGCTCTTCTTAACCAATCTAATTTAACTACATCATAAGTACGACAATTAACTTGTGTTTGAACTTTTACTGAATTCGGATTACCAACAATCAAACAAAAGGTATTCTTTCCTGGATTCTGAACAATTTTAGCTGAATGACTGATCAATATTCTTTCAATATCACTTTTCGTCCATTTTTCTTCATCATTAAATCCTGGTTTTTGTAATTTCTCTTCACCATTTATCACACATATCTCTTTAGCTTCAAACAAACGTGTTTTTCTTTCAACAGTGGCCGCATTAACACCAAAGTATCTTGAATCTATTTTCAAAGGCTTCAAAAACATTTCTTCCTTAATTTCACGAAGTCTCTTAGACGGTGAACCTAACAAAGAAAGATCAGTTTGAACATCAGACATTGTTGCATGACGTTTAGTGAGCTTCTGAACTACACCATCAGATTTAATAAATGACTTGAGTTCAGTTAGACTACACACATCAGTCCAAGGTTTATCTTCACGACTTCTCAACACTCTTGGGAACCTTAGGGTGTATCCAGCTGGCTGATAGTCACATTTAATCATTTCTGTAGCTCGAAGTTGGAGAACTAGTGATCGTTTTGGTTCAATCCAGACATCAGGAAGATACTTTTTAGGTCCAACAATGTTTCTTGGACATTCTTGAGACCAGTAAGGCTTGAATCGTTCATTTATTTCTTTGATTTTATCAACTGACAGTCCAGAACTTACCGAACCAACTGACAAAAATTTTAAATTGCTGTTGGAGTCAATAGTTATCTCACTTTGTTCATCTGTTGATGAATTATTGCTTCTACTAGAACTTGATACTCCCATCAAAAAGCTGCTGATTACTCCAGCATATTTATTCTCTCCATAATAACCACCTAGTATCAACATGTCAATATCTTCTATCAATCCATCAGAGTATTCAGCTTTGAGTTTATAGCAACAATTGCCTTCTCTTGAATTCGGTCGGTAATAACTGTCAACCTTCTTTAAAACAATCCCTTCATCATCATTGTCCATACTTTTATTGAATATATCCAGCACCTCATCTTTGGTTTTTACTAGGGTATTTTTACAACGCACCAATACACCTTCCTGTTCTTTAAAAGCAGCTTCAAGAATCTTCAATCGCTCATGTAGAGGAAGATTGATCAGCAATCGATCATTATATAAAATCACATCAAATGCAATAAAGCAAGATTGATAATTACTTCTAGATGTTAACTTCTTGACATCATAGGACATTCCTTTAGAGCCGAATATTTTTTTTTCTTTATGCCAACCCACTAGTTCACCATCTAGAATGATAGACTGACATTGAGGATTAATTAAATCAGCAATTGCTTTTGTTAGGAAGCTATTCATTGATGATTTTGATGCTCCAAAACCAGAATTATCAGTTATATCTAAACCATGACGTGTAAAATATTTATATTCTCCATTTTTCATATGTAATTGGCTCCTTTCTCCATCGAATTTCGTCTGAATAACATAAGTATCATCAGATGTGAATAATTTACCGATTTCTTCGACTTTCAGACGTTCAAGAAGCATCGGTTTGAATGGTGAAAGAAGAGCAACGTTGGAGATATTTCGTTCCAATTGTGTCTGGAGATTTAACAAAGTGTCACATACCTGTTTAAGGTCACACTTTTCACCATAATACCAATCAGCATCAGGATGATATGCTGGAATAGTTGTGAATTTAAATAAGTGAATGATCAACAAGTAAAGCATACATAAAAATTGAAAGACTTACCTTCAAATATACTTTTCTCTCCCATTCCAATTTTAATGTCTTTCAAAATAATTCTCGTAAACCATTTTATTTCCATAGCATTACATTTTTGTAGATGAATAAATTCACTATCTTTGCTTCCATTTTGTGCATTCTTTTCAGCTATTTTGTCTAGAATATTATTGATTTGTTCTATTGATAAATTTCCTGACTGACGAAGTCTTGATGTTAGAATCCAATAAACTCGTTCAGCAAAATCATTCATCTGCATTCTATCACTTGATGGTTGTCGGTAATTAATAATACTCTGTGCTTCAGTACTAGTCTTTCCTAAACAAAATACTCGAACGTACAGCTTTCCTAGATTTATTTGCTTCAGTCCAAATGGTCCACGGTGTTTATCACTTTTTACAAGTAGTAATCTCATTACTGGATACAACGAAACATCCTGTAAACAATTTTATTTATTGAAATGAAAACTTCTTTAGGTGTGTTAAATATATTCAAGATGCTTACAACATTTGGATCCTTTTCTTTCATTTCTCGGCCCAATTGTCGATAATTATCCAAGAACTTCTTTAATATTTCAACCTTCTTGTTTCCTCTAGCTGTCCAAATGTTCTCTAGAACCTCACAAAAATTTTGAAAGGTAATTTTAGATGCCAACGACATGATTCTGTAACAAACAAGAAGGCAAAATAATTTTTTACAAAATAAAAAGTGATGTTTAAACTGTTTTATAAAAAAATTTGTTGAATTAATTTTTTTTTAAAAAAAATGTTAAGTAAAAAAATATTTTATTTATTATCTTCATTTATCTATAGACGTACAACTATGTTTTAAATAACAATATATTCATCAAGATATATTCTTGCTAAATCAGGATTGCCTGATTGCATATAAATAAGATGAATATTAAAAGCAGCTTCTCTTCGGAGATCAAAGAGTTCAGGACGACTAGCAATAAGTTCGGAAGGCGGTGAATCCAATACTAATTTATAAAAGTGTAGAGCACCAGTAAGAAGTCCAATTTGATGAAGAAGACGACCAATATTATAATCTGATTCTTGTTTCATTTCAGGACCACGTTGTTGTGCGTATTTTTTAAAAAATGTATAAGCTATAAAGACAATTAAATAAATTAATTTCACGGATAATTTTCAAATTTTTAATTAATTAGTTAGAAAATAAACCTACCCTGAATGACAAGTCGATGTTTTTTAGCAGCATATTTTTGACAAGCCATTTGCAGACAAGTAACTCCAATAAGTAAAGCAAGTAATGGAGCTGGTGAATCTTTGTACAACGACACATAATCATTGAGCGCATATTTGTAGGTTCCCGAAACAAGGCAGTTATTAGCATGAAGAAGATGCAGATGAAAAGAGGCATTCTCTCCAAGAAGTCTCATGATAAATCTATTATGTCGAGCATCATCAGCAGTCTGGATAACAACATTTAATAAATTCCATAGACTTGGTTTTGTAAAGTCTCTCACTAGGTCTCTGATGATATTGTACGCATGATAAGAGTCCTTGTTGTAGATACAAGCAAGTAGACATAGAAAAATAATATGTGGAGTTTTTGGTTCAAATTTTTTCGAAGTCAATGCTGTGAAACAAATCCGCTCTAGGACTCCATATTTCTTGAGATCCCAAGCCACCTGGCACATCTTGATGAACAGGCTATACTCATCATTAAACGATGGCACAGTTGAACTACTGAATGTTGGAGCATTGTTGTCTTCAAGTGGTTCAGCACGTGAAAGTCGATGGAGATGTAGAGCTTCACGTCTTTCACGTACTCTTGGTCTCATTAATGTTGGCAATTCAGCTTTACTTCTCAATCTGATACACTCTTTCATCAAAAGTAAATATCCTGATTCCAAGAATTCATCAAACCTTTTGATTTTATATAGAAGCATTGTTTTGCGATAAAGAGCATCAGGATCAATTACATCAACATCAGGATCTTGTTTTAAAATATCTATAGCACGATCGTAGAGTTTCATACACTTGTAGAGTGTTGATAATTGAAGTTTCGCTTCTAAATGTTGAGGTGAAAGCTTTGTCACTATTTCGTAAGCTAGAATTGCTTTTTTTAGGTTCTTACATCCAACCCAACATTCAGCATATCGCAACCAAACAGCAGCTAGACTATAATTTTCACTGTTTATCAAAGGTTCTAATACTTTGATAGACCTAGAGTATTCTTTTCTACTCATCAAAGCTTCTGCGACGTCCAGAAATAAATCTCCAGAAGCATCTGGATGTTCTTCCTTCAGAAACTGGTTGATTAAACCATCTGCTTTGTCTACATTATTTAATTCTATTACAGCAACAATACATTTGGCTTTTAAATCAACAACTACATCATTCGGAATGATACAAGATTCAATAATTATTCCTGAATTATCAGCAAGAGCTACGGAATCATTTTCAATAAGTTCTGTCCTTTTAACAGAAAATTGATGATACTTTACACTAATACTAGTGTAACGAGATAAAATATCAAGACATCTGGTGAATTTTTTAGAAGTAATCAATAACTCTGTGATAATATTTACTTCTTCTAGAGTCACCAAGTCTGGGCACTTATTAAAAATTTGTTCCATCGCTTCTAAAGCTTGTTGATGATTATTTTCTTGAATAAATTTTTGAGCAACTATTTTGGCATAATTGATCAAATATTCACCATCTTCTGGACCAAGTTGATGAATTAACTTCATGTATCCCTTGATAGAAGCTCGAACATCTCCAGTTTGCTCTTGAAGCTTGGCTCTTTCTTCATACAACGCCACATCTTTAGGATTAGCTTGAATGGCTTTTGAATAACAGGTAATTGCTTGTTTAATATCTCCAGAGTCTAAAGAAATATTAGCAAGCTTAATCCACTGATCAACATCTTTGGGATTTAAATGAGCAGCAATTAGTGAAAATTGAAGAGCTTTTTCTGGATCACGAGTCTCGTAAATCATCGCTAAGGTTTGGAATGGTTCTGGAGCACTAGGGACTTGTCTAAAAAGAATAAAAAAAATATTATAAAATAACTGATTTGATGCTTTGTATCAATTAAATATGGTAAATTAAATTTACCTGATGATTTCCATACACATTTTGATAGCTAAATCAGTCTCTCCTTTGGCAAAACGTAAATTAGCTTCACCCATAAGACCTTGTAAAGCTAAAGGTAAATTCCGACGTTTCTTTTTACGACGACCTTTTTTTTCATTCTTTTCATCAATCGATTCTCTAGGTCGTGCTCTTCCACTACTTGAGGGTACGACTCTGAAGGAATAAATATTATAAAATAAATAAATAAAAGTCAGACATTTGATAACATGATAATAATTATTCTCATTACTCACATCATCGGTTGATTTTCTGTGGTTTCATTTTCAGCATGAGTATCCATTCGTGATGAGTACTCCGAAAAAGTTAACTCTCCATTTAAGAATTGTTTGGTCAATCGTTCTTGTTCTTCTGGTGTTAAGACATCATTATCTTCACCATCTGACCCTTCTGCTTGATATGAATCTTTTGGATCTTCATTAGAGATAGTAGATCCTAATGATCCAGTTATTTCAGCATCTTCAGGGTTAATTTCACATATTTCCAGGGCATTTGCTTCAATAAATTCATTTAAATTAGCCACTTGACTCTCTTCTAGCTCTTCTATTATTACTGGAGCTAAATCAGGTGTTTCGTCTATCAACAACGGACCTTCTGATGATGGTGATAATACTCTCAGATGAAAATCCTCCGCTTCATTCTCTGAATCCACTTCCATTTTCTCCATTTTCTCCGAAGATGAAATTATTTTATTTTCCCTGCGATTAGACTTTCGTTTTGTAGGAATCACTAATGAACTTTTTAAAAGTGCTATTTAAATTGACATGTTCATTGATATGTAACCAATCAAAAGCACTAATAGACTGATATTATATTATTTTAAGCTACAATTAATCATAATTAAATTTATAAAAATCTATTATTTATATTTATTTACAATAAAAGATATAATTGTTGGTTTTGATTATCTCAACAGAGGTTATGTAGACACAAAGTTGATGATTTTCGTTTAAAAATTGTAGAAATAAATACAAAATGATAAACCTACCTGTAGTAATTAATTATTGACAGATATTGAATTACAGATCAGCCATTCAAACGGTTTTTATGTCGTTTTTTCAAATAAATTGTTAATTTAATATTCTGAAAAACCTGCACAACTCGACAAATCACGAGTGACTGCTCGATATCCTTGATACACACTCGTTTTCTTATCAACACCCCCACCATTGCACATTTCGCTCGTTGATACCTTATCGATCGAGAAAATTTGGCCGCTCAAAGTGAGGTTAGTTTTTGTAGAACAACAACAATACACTCGTAGCCTGATTATCAACTCTTTTAATAAATTAAATAAATAAAAAATGGAAAATTTATTTGGACATGACGATTCTGGGAATGATAGTGATACCTTGGAGGATAAGACAAAATCAAATTCAGATAAAAAGAATAAATCTAATGATTCCATAGAGATTCATGAACACGAAATAAAGGTAAGTTATTATGATTATAAATAATGGCCTATTAATTATTATTATTTATAATTAATTAAGTTAATGCTTTTATTTCCAGCCAGATATAGAATCTTTAGAGTTAACGCATAAATCCGAAACAATATCAAAAGACAATCATTTATTTGACAGTAATAAAAATAATAACCTCAATGATATCAACAGTATTCCTAGTAGCAGTAAAAAACCACGGTTGGATACAAATTCTCATGGTAAAAATGATGATTTATTTAATACTGATATTGTTATGCCACAAACAACGCCAAATTCTGTGAAAGATAGGCGAGAAAGTAAAGAAAAAAATAGACGAGAATTGGAGGAAGAAGAAAGAGAAAAAATGAGGTAATTTATCAAAGTAACAATAATGTATCTTTTTTAAAATTATTTTTAATAATAAAAATACTTTTATTGCAGAGTTTTAGTATCAAACTTTACAGAAGATCAATTACATCGTTATGAAATGTATAGAAGAGCAGCATTCCCAAAAGCTGCCATTAAAAGAGTACGTAAATTAAATCGATACAGGTTAATTGATTTATTATCAACATAAAGAAACTTATTCCAAAAAAAAAAACAATGCCATTGATTGTTTATAATTATTGGAATACTAAGGATTGCATTAATTAATTAATTTTTTTATGTAGATAATGCAAACAATCACAGGATGTTCAGTATCCCAAAATGTAGTTATAGCGATGGCAGGAATAGCTAAGGTCTACGTTGGAGAGATTGTGGAAGAAGGTAATTAATTAAATTGCTAAATAGAAGACTGAAGAATAACAAAATTAATTATCAAGACATTGTTATTGTTTGTCAAGCTCTTGATGTAATGGAAGAATGGGAAGACAGTGGACCACTTCAACCAAAGCATCTTCGAGAAGCTGTTCGTAGACTACGACTTAGGGGTAAAATACCTATTGGACGTGCAAGAAAACCATTTTTCAGATTGTAATCATTTGTTATCATAATTATTTTATTTATAGAAAATATTTACATATAAATCATTTCCCATTAATTCAATAACTCTAGTAACCAAATCAACGTAAGATTTAAATTAGTAATCTGATGAAGAATAAAAAGAGACAGACATCTGATGAAAATTCTTACGTTAGGGCTGGCTACTAGGGAAGCTTTGAACTTTATTAAAATCAAAATTATGAATAAGAAATTATAATATATTAAATAATATTTTTATCTCTGAATATTTATTAATAAATATTTTATTTCTAATACTATTGAGGTGATTTGAAGGCATCTTTGGTCCTGAAGATTGGAGGTAAGTCTATGGTATTATCACTACGCTTTGGTGATGCTGTTGATGGTCCTCCAAATGCTGTAGAGTTTTCAGGAGTCTTGGATCTCTACAAACAATAATTTTATCCGGTTAAACTGCTTTAGGATGAGAAGTTTGAAGTAGTTAATGAAATAAATTAAATTAAAATTTACAAAAAATGATAGTGGACTGAAGATCCCTCGTAATCGATCAGAAACAGTTGTATTCGCTCCAAGTTCTGCTTCAGCATTATCAACAGCTGCTTCAAGATTCGTTAAATCAATACTTGCTCTTGCCACGACATGCTCCAAAGCATCAATCCTTCGACAAAGTTCCATTAATTGTGGATTCACTGAACGGAATCTGATTAGATGTTCATAAGTACATTCAGCTCGTAGGTTTTGAACCTATGACATCAATTTAATCATTATTTCAACACTTGACAATCAATTTTTTATCATCCTTCCATACCATTCCAACAATTGATTCAAATTCCTCCAAACGAACCATCATTTCATCAACAGTCTCATGAACTTTTTTAGTCTGAAAGGAAAATAAATTAATTATCTTTTTTATTAGAATCATTAAATAAATTAAAAACTAACCTGACTTGGGAGGTCAACTTTCATGAATGAAGAATAATCATTTGCTAATGTTTCAATCATTTTATCATTCGCCTGATTATTCATTTTTAATTCAGGCATATTTTTTACATTAAATAAAACCTTTTTATTTAATTAAATACAATAGGATTGGAAAAAATAATAACCGTACATATGTTTTGACACAAAAGAGATGACGATGGTAACCGAATACTCACGGAATCATTCGAAAATAATAGTGAACAAAAATTCAAGTGAACGACTGAAGGACTGTACATGTAATTTCACCATTGTATCAATTTAATCATTTTTAAACATTAATTTAATCTTTTAAAACCCAAGCGAAAGTAAACTCTGTAACTTTACTTCTTCATTAACCACAGACTGTAACCGCTAATTTAATGGGATTTATCCTTTAATTTTTTTTAACCACTCATTTAAGGTGACTGCGTCAATTAACTTGTTGATGATGAATAAATACTTATTATAATGAATATAAGATTTTTTTTTTTATAGTTAAAATAAAAAATCTTAAAATGAGGTTATTGAAGGAACTAAGAAAGTTGGCTTCTAGATGTTGAAGTTGGATTGAAGTGGAGAAAATTGTTTATCAATAATCATTAATTTTACTTTATCTTGGGTTATATATTTCTAGATGTGGTCTAATGATACCCAAGTAGATCTAATTTTATCTAAAAGTTTTACAATTAAAATCTAACCTTATCTAATTTAATCTTATTTCATCTAATGAGATCAAAAACTTCTTTTTTTCTTCTTTCTAGGTGGAAAATATTTTTTTTCTAATGAAATGTAAATGTAATCTAGTTATTTATAACCTAGTTTATTGATAAATGTAATAGGCTTTCACAAATCATCATATGATTTTTTATATACCACTTGGAGAAAGGCCATCCAGGTGTATACCATCAACACATTTAACATCTCCATTTATTTCTGGTAAGTTTATAATCCTTAATAAATATAAACCTTGAATTTTATTTATTATAATACGTCAATGAGTTGTAAAAAAAAAAAAAAATTATTATTAGTCTTTTACTATTTCTTTTTTCTTTTGCTAATGACGTTTGTTGAAGAAATTATCATGTATTTTTTCAGAAATTTAAGTTTACTTTGCTAATGATTACAATGAAAAATAAATATACGATTGAAGCAAATATCATCCTGAATAATGAATGAGTTGACTAAAAATATCTAAAAGTAAAAGCGTTTAAAAATATGTGTGGTTTAATATTTGAATATGAATTTCACTTGGAGAAGGTTTTGCAACCATTTTAAATTAGATTTGCTCACATGATGAATATTTAAATTATATTGATTACACTGATTAGGTAAGTTTATTTTAAACATCATCCTGAATAATATTTCACTACCTGATAAAAATAATTCGATAAAATTAAATCAAATTCTATAAGATTGAATATGATTTAATTATAAATTTATTGTTAATAATAATTTATTATTATTCATTATTAATAATCCTGTATTGCCTTCTGGACTATAATTATTGGACAAAACTTCTTAGCTAACCTAACAAATAATACAATGTAAAAAATGTTTTTTTTATTAGTATATACAATTATATATCACATTAAATAAAAATATTGTTGTTTTAGTTGATGCATCCATTGTTAAACTGTCTCGTGCCCAAGGATTTTATAATAAAGGAAAGCATGTTATTATTTTGAGAGATCCTTGGTTGGATCCTTGATGATGTCAACAATATCATTCTCGACAATAGAGACTTTTATTTATCAATTTGATACTTAAATAATTTTTTTTCTCTGTCAAAGACATTGATAAAAAAAAAAAGAAGAACAAATATTCTATATAATTATATAAAAATTAGATACAATTATTATTACCAACCATGAGAATGATGAATTTTTAATATGCTATTCATCTTTTAATATTCACACACGTGTTTAAAACTATCAAATTTTTTCACATATTGTTTTTTCTTTCAATTATAATACAAAGTCCAAGTTAAAAGTATCTTTCCATAAATATGTGCAATTTTTTACTTTGTAATACATGGTCAATTAAAGTGAAAAGACGAAAAAAAAAAAAATATTGCGTAAAATAGTTAATCGATTCTGTAGTAAATAAAATAGCTAAAAGTCCATACAAAAATATTGCAACATAAAATATCTATATACACAGATCTCGTCAATCAGGAAATTAAAAGGAAAGGCCTGTCCATGTTTTACTTTGTTTTTGTATTTACTGGATAATTATTGCTTACAATGTATCATAGGTGATAGAGAAATGTGTAAGTAAGAAAAGATAAAATTAAGTAAGTAAGTGATTGGTAGGATAAAACTAAAAAGAAAGGAAACGACTTGATCCCGTCCACTTTTGCGTTCAAAATAGCAACAAGTGGGAGAGATTGTACTAGGTCTTGACTTCTCGTTAATCCTGGATGCTTGGATGTTTGGAGAAACAGTATCTACACGGCTGGCATCATAGGAAGAATAATTACTGGAAAAAAGGTTGGTTTCGTAAGTTTACTATCAGTTTATTTTATTACATTTTATATTACAACATCTTTTATTTTTTATTATTCATTCCTTCAACGTTATCATTAGCCAACACTTTTCCTATTATTTTATTTATCTCCAACACCTGGTTCATTTTTATTCATCAACTATAGCTCATGCCCACGACTTTGTTTATGCAAAAATTGAACAATAAAATTTGCTAACTTATTACAAACCTTTGATAACAAAAAAAATGTTATTTATTAATTGATCTTCCAAGTGGCTGGTAATTATCATTGATATCCAGCAGAACAAATTTTATTACAGTTTCCTTGATTTATGTAATCTCTTTAATGAATATATCTCTATTTTTCTACGCTTCAGCTACTCTCTGGTACCAATGCTACCATTGTAAATCATGTAATTCATATTCAGTCATTAATGTCACTCAGGACAGTGAACAACTATTCATTACCAAACCTTCTTTTCCTAGAGAAATGACTCCTTTTGTGCTGACATTATTTTTTTTACTGGAATAACAATTGGTCTAATTATTATTTGATATAGAAAAAGTGTAAAATGATATAGTAAAAGATATGAAATAAACTATCCAACTAAAACCATGTGCAATACTCACTTGAATTACAGTGGAATCTATCGTGGTACGGTCAATAATCTCTCTCTTACCAAGTATTCGCTTTCGCTGGGCAATTTCTTAACGCTGCAGTTCTCTTCTCTTGGGCAATAGACGTAAGTATAACGTTAAGATAAATCTATTTCAAGACTTGGTGAAATTTCAAAATAGTTGGAAGAATAATTTATTACCTTTGTTTATTTTTATCAACATTTCATTTCCAAAGCCAACATTTATTATTCTACATTTCAAAAAAATATTCTACTCTATTTATTTTAATAATTAATTAAACAATTAGAAAATTTGAGGTTAAAAAGAAAGTGTCTTTAATTAGTTAATGCGCGAAAAAAAAAAAATTGTCACAAATGGAAATATTCCACGCCTTTCTTTTCATTAATAAAGATTGGTCAAGGTGAAAGGTGTGGTTATTATATGACCTCGTATATTGAAACAAAAAAAAATATACCTGACCTTGATAGTTGCCAAATCAAAACATGTTTATGTTTACTTAACGAATTGATTAAAATGATTTATGACATTGATATGTTTTATTATTGTAGGTATTGATTGTTGATAAATCATCAAAATGGACAAGGAATTAAGTCCAATTCAATCATATTATGCTGGAAAGACAATTTTTATTAGTGGAGCTTCTGGTTTTATGGGTAAAGTTTTGGTTGAAAAATTATTATACAGTTGTAGCAATCTAAAACGTATCTACATACTTCTACGAAGTAAACGTGGACGTACACCGGAAATGAGGATTGATGATATGTTCAAGTTGCCAGTAATTGAGTATTTTTTTAATATTGGAAATGGAAAAAAAAAATAATAATAATTGAAAAAAGCAAGAATTTATAGAGGTTATTTTTTTTTCTAGATGTTTGATAGAATTCGTAAAGAAAAAGCTCATGTGTTGAAGAAATTGATAGCTTTACCAGGTGATATATCATCAAAAAATTTCGGATTAACTGAAGCTCATCAGAATTTATTAATAAATGAAGTAGAAATAATTTTCCATTGTGCTGCTACATTGAGACTGGAAGCTAAATTAAAAGATGCGATAGAAATGAATGCATTTGGAACAGCGTCAATGCTTGAATTAGCACGAAAGATGAAAAAACTTCAAGTATTTATTCATCTTAGCACGGCATTCTGTCATGTGGATCAAGAAGAGTTGGAAGAACGGGTTTATGATAGTCCTGAAGATCCTCATGAAGTCATGAGACTCACTCAGTGGATGAAACCTGATGCTTTGGAACTGATCACACCTAAGTAAGTATTTATTTTTAATAAATCCATCCATTAAGTATATTTATTAATCTATTTTTATCATTTTCAAGACTTCTAGATCCTCATCCCAATACTTACACATATTCCAAAAGACTTGCGGAAACTCTTGTAGCCAACGAATATCCCAATTTACCTTGTGTCATTGTTAGACCTTCAATAGGTAAATTTTTGGCCATAAGCTGCTATAAAGTAATTCGTGCAATCGAGGCCGATTACTCTAGAGTAATTGAAGGCTTCAAAAAAATTGTCATTTAATATCAGAATGTTTAAAAATGAATTTTAGTAACCCCAGCATGGGCAGAACCACTTCCTGGATGGGTAGACAGCTTGAATGGTCCAGTAGGTCTAATAGTTGGTGCTGGGAAAGGAGTTATCAGGTCTATGCACTGTAATGCAAATTATCATGCGGAAGTAATACCAGTAGATCTTGCTATTAATGCTCTTATAGCTATTGGATGGAAAATGGGAATGGCGACTTGCAGGTGAGTACACTTAGAAAGTAGTTGTCTTATCCATTTATAGATTTTCTATCATCAATTAATCCTAGATTTCACTGTATTTCATCAATGAATTTAATCATTTATTTATTTCAGAGAAAAAAATGTTCCTGTCTACAATGTTACACAATCAGGTGTTGTCCCAGTGACATGGGGTGAAATTGTAGAAAGAGGAAAAAAAGTCGCCTTTAATTATCCATTTGAAACTTGCATTTGGTATCCAGGTGGTGATATTCATAGCAGTAAATTTGTTCATAATTTAATTGTATTCTTCTTTCATATCATCCCGGCATATATTATTGACTTCTTGCTGCTTATATTCCGACAGAAACGTTTGTATGTATTTTTTGTTTTTTTTCTAATTAACATTACCTTAATCATCACTGCTACATCATCATTAAGTGTCCATGATGGTAATACCAAGTCTCTTCTGGTCTTTGACAAATGATGGCTGGTAACACTTAACCTGATAAAAGTGTTATTACATAACAGCTAATAAAATACATCAATGTCAATCGCTTTAGACCAGAAGAGATTCAATATTAACATCATATATACTTGATAATTATTTTCAAATGTCAATTACGAAATAATTCTGGTTTTAGCATGGTACATGTTCAAAAACGAATTACTGATGGGTTAGAAGTCTTACAGTATTTCACAACAAGAGATTGGATATTTCATAATACAAATCTCCTTAATTTATGGGAAGAGATGAATTTGCAAGATAAAAAAATATTCCCCATTGATTTCCTTGCTGTTGATGAAAGTGAATATATTAAATATATCATCTTGGGAGCTAGACAATATTGTATGAAAGAAAAATTGGAATCCTTACCACGAGCAAGAGTCCTACAAAGAATGTTAGTAAATAAATGAAAATATTTCTTAGCAATAAAACTGTATAATAATAATTTTTATCATCTTTTAGACTTTGGGTTATTCATGTGACGACTGTTTATGGATTTTATCTTGGAATCGCGTGGTTGATAGTTAAGAATTTTGAAACAGCTAGGTATTGTCTTGATTTTTTAACATCTAAAATGAGATTACTACCATTAATTGGACGATTTGTAAGTTTTGTTGCTCCTCCAGATAGCATGTGAGCATTAATCAAATATAGATGCATTAATTATAGTACAAAAGTCAAAAAATGTAATTTTCCAAACTTTGATAATCGATAACCAATAGTAATTATTGTCTTCAAGTAATAAAAATTTGTACAAATACTCTCCTCATCATTTTCTACAAGAATCTAAAAAAAAATTCTACTTTTATACTATAATTAATGCACCATAAAATAGGGCTTAAAATTACAGCCACTAGACCATAAGAACTCTATGAACCTGCGAATACAATAAATATAATATTTCGTACATTTTTTACAATAACGTAAATATAAACAAGAAATAATAATAATAATACTAATGATATTAATATTAATATCTTTTTTCATTATTCCATACAAGTTTATATTTATACATATATATAAAATAAAAAATGAAAAAAATATTTCAAATATTTAAATACATTTTTTTATAATATATATATATCTATTATTTTTGTTGACTTTATTTAGTATTTAATTCATTACTTACTCCATTAATTATCATTTTTATTATCTAAATTAATACTTGAAAAATAATGCAAAATCCTTCGAACAAAACTCTGTCATGAATTACATCAATACTAATTAAATATTATTATCGACATTTTCTATTATTTATTTTTTTTAAATATTTTATTTATTATTAATTTTTTTTTTTTTTTTTTGTATCATTACTTTTTTTATAAATATCTTTTGCTATGAAAAATGCGCAATTTTTCAATTAACAAATAATTGCACGTTATATTTATACATTTATTTTGTTTAAATTATTTCTATAAATATTTATAATGAATTAATCAATAATTATTTAGTTATTTTTTTTTTTTTAGTTTCTGGTTGTTTCCTGTGATGGTGTTGTATATTTTGGTGATTAATTTTAGTTCGTCGATGATGCCAAAGGATATGAAGTAGTAATGATGCCCTTGAATGGTATGGTTCACGGAAGAAAGCTCTTGCATCAGCATGTTTTGGACACAAATAACATCGAAATAATCTTTTATTTATTTTCTTCTTATCATTATTATTGTTAAGTATTACGCTATTGTTATTTGAATTTTTTATAGTTATTTTTTCATCTTTCTTATTCTCCTGAAATTTTTTATTCAATTCTTCATTCATATTTTCCTCCTCTTCTGATTCATATTGCTTAATTATCTTACGTGGCTCACTTTGTTTTCGCGATCTACTTCGTCCATTTGTTGATATTTGACTAGAATTAATGACAATTATTAATTCACATCCATAATTATTTATTATTTAAAACAATGGCCTCCAAAAAGTTAGTTGAAATGAATGATAATCCAACTTTTAGAAGGCACTATAAATTATTTTAAATCTATCTAATGGTAGATAATTTATATAAATAATGATTGATGATTTGAATTTTTATATTGGATGGTGATAAAACACACCTGATCCTTAATATCTTCGTGATGAATGCGTTGTCGTTGTCTTTGAAAGTTGATTTGTTTTACCATCTTGTAGCCGCAACAACAGCGGCGCTATTAATATATTTATTAATAAATAGTTAATTTAATTTTTAAAATTGACTATTTAAATAAAAACGTAATAATCAAAGCAGACGTATTTACGTTAAAATAAAAAAAAAACCATTTGATAAATAAAATAATATAATTGAAATAAACAACAAATATAACGCAGACAAAACGAAAAATACAGGCCAGTGCTTTCACCACAATTATTATCAAAGCAATAGTGGTAATGAAATAAATATAAATTAAAATGTATATCTACGGTAATATAAATAACGATTTAATTAATTCAAGCATCAAGTGTCTAATGATATTTACCCAAGAATTGTGGTAGGAGGTGGTGCTATTGTTGGTGCTGTTGTTGGAAATACTGGTGGACCAGGTGGTGGACGTCCAACTCCACCAAGACTATAAATAATATTTAAATAATTAAGATGTTATTTAATTAGAATAAACTTAACAATAGTCTTTACTTACTGAAGAGGTTGATCTCGATTACATGTAGCAGTAGAATTCGTTGTATTGGTTGGTGTTGCTGAACTCTGCAACGACACTTGAGTTGTCGATGTTGTCGGGACACTAGTGTTAGTATTACCAGTATTAATTCGATGAACATGTAATTGATGTAATTGTAATTGTGCTGTGTCTTCTCCTAAGAATGAACATCTTGAACATTGACGTTTGTTGTGAACCTTCAGCACATGTGTTGCTAATCTTTCAGCTCGAGCTGCTTTATATTCACAAAGAGCACATGCAAAAGGCTTTAGGTGTGTATTCAAGTGGCGTTTTAAACACCAATTATCAACACCACTCCAAGAACAATAGCAACAAGTATATCTAAAATAATATATATTATTATTTCATTTATTAAAATAACTAAATATCATTCACTCTCTTACCGTCTTTCTAAAGCTCCTTTTGATCCAGCTTTTAAATGACTTTTACTATTGCATCCTGTTGTTTGAAGTCTTCTATTACCACAATTAGCATCCTGAATATTCCCTACAGTCATCGAAGTCGTTTGGTAAAGTGACGGAGTTGAGTTAGCTGATGTTTGACTGGTTTGCAATTGGTAACTCTTGTTATTATTAAAATTAGTTGTATAATTGCCATTTATTTGTGTATTTCCATTAACTGATGTATTATTTGTTTCAGGAATTAACGGCTTGATGTCATTATTAGACCCTGGAGTTCTACGTATCCTAGACAATTCGTATGTGTGTTCTCGATGCATTCGTAAAAAATGCTTCTTCACATGGTCAGCACGATTAAAAGGTTTGAAACATACGTAACAATGGAAAGGCTTTTCTTCTCGATGGATATTCTCATGTCGGGTGTATAGATCCCTTCTATCAGTTCCGTAAGGGCAATATGGACATGTGTAACGTTTACTACTGGTCAAGGTTGTCGCTGATGATGCCATCATCGTTGGACTCTATTAAATAATTCAATAATAAATGATTAATTTCTTTTAAATTAAAAATAACTGCTAGATGTTACTTACGGAATGCAAGTGCTGTGGTGGCGTTGATGGTAATTCTTGAAGTAAAAATGGCGTAGTGGCAGGTAATAAAGCAGCAGGAATTGTTTGTGTTTCTTGGGTACGTCTTGATGGCGGTGCTATTCTCTCAGCTTTCTCTCTTACTCGTTCTAAATACACAAGAATGTCTTCAAGCTTTGGATCACTTAGGTAATCCTTTCTCGACGAGTGATCCCTAGTTCTTGAATCTTCAACAATTATCCTTGATGAATGAAGTTCTATGAAATGCTCAGCTACATCACGTGGACTACCACTCATACAATCACCTAAATTCATTATAATTCCATTAACAAAAAAAAAAAAAAATAGTCTTAAAGTTCAGTTTTCATTAATAAACCTATCTTACCACATTCATAGCATCTCCAAGTTGTTTTGGCAGCATTATAAGCAGCTATCCTACTTCCATCAGTCCCTTTAAGTGGTTCATCTTCACATGTCCAATTGGCATCATCATCAGTGGTATTGTCTTCATCATTTTTATATGAAACTGAAGCTTCAAATTCATTCTGTACACTAGATGCTGTTGGAATAATGATTAATTTATTAAACATTAATCAGTTGGTGGTTAATTATTTAGCATGAATTAAAAAAAAAAAAAAACATACTTCGATGATCAGGATCATCACCGTATAATTTCCGAGTAATTTCCTTAAACATATCTTCATAACAATCCAGCCTGCCAATACCAATAGCACCGCTCTCCATGTTGAATAGAATTTTCTGAGTATCCGGTGTCTTTTCGACCTGGCTCCCAAACTCTACCTGGCCAAAGAGATTATTTTAATGCTGAATTAGAAAGGAAATATTTTTAAGAATAAGGAAATTTCAATATCAAGTTAGAAACCTGATGAGTAAAATAATTTTCTTCATTATTATTCTGCATGTTATGTTGTTGTTAATTGTCTCAATTAGATCTCCAAGACCATCAAGACTCAAAAACTATGCCATGAAAATTTATTGACGTGTTAGAAGTAGTAGTGATGAACAGAATAGGACATATAGGAGGTATAAATATTGATGCTTTTCTATATATTCTTGAGTGAAAAAGTTATATCACAAATGTAATGCATATATAGAAGAATATGACAAGAGTAATATTAAAAAGAGAACGAGAAATTGTGTCATAACTCGTTAAGGAAAGAGTCTTGTGGAGGGGTCGAAAAGTTGATGGACAAATCAATATTTTCCCTTGATATTTGAGTGTAGAGTTTTGAGTAATAATGATTGAAAGGAGGGAAAAACTAGATAGAATAAAAAATGTAGTAAATACAAAAGACACTTGTAGCTTTGGAAGAGGTGTTGGGTGTATGGCATTGAAGTTGATAATGAAAAAGTCAAGTGGGAGGATATTTAAGAGTGTAATATAATTTAAAAATGTTTTTAACAGACTTTATTGTATATACACCCACCCTGATTCCTAGAACGCATGCGCTTGGTAGGCATTATCGGGGACCTGAGAATAGAAAGAGGCAAGGGACATGCCAGAGAGGGAGATAGATTTAAGTGGGGATAGATTGAGAGTGAAAGAGATGGAGATAAAAAGGCCTTAGCAGGTCAGAATACCACCCCGCCGCTCTAAAAGCGTCATCCGTTCTCTCCAACGCAGGATATTTCTCGACATCGTGTGTTTGAAAATGTTTGTGAGAATGTTGACGATATTCATGAACACGAATTAGCTAAATAATGCTAATAAACTGGCGAATGTATCAAATATAATGAGATAAAAATAGTGGATATGTGATAATAAATTGTTGAAGTCTTTAAGTGTTGAGGAGGGGGAAGTATTGGAGATGGAGAGAGAGAGAGAGAAATGTTAGAGCGCGCGTTTTACGTGTAGGCATGCGGAATATAATAGGATAGTTGTACTCACCGGGTTGTCGTTGACTCAAGTTGATGGCTTGGTAGTTTTTCGAGTATTCAGGGTTGAAAATACGACGACGAATATACACGGGAATGCTGGTTAGAGTTGCAGGTTGTTTCCTCGACGGCAGTCGGGTGGAGAGTGGGTGGGCAGGCGGGGTGGCCGGGTGGCTCAGTGGGTGGTTGGGAGGTAGCAGGGGGGAGTGGAGTGGGGTGAGGAGTCCCCCGATAACACCCCCTCGACCATTCAATCCTCAGTCGAGCCATCACTAGGTGTTGGACAGAGATAGCTGTATACGAGGATGAAGGAACCAACGAACGGTGTGTGCGTGCGCACGCATACCATTGGACCTCTACTAAACCTCCAACCTTCCCCCCACTCAATCTCATGCTATTCCTCCCTCCCGACAGACACTTTTCCTCAAGCTCTGCGACCCCCGCACCACCCGCACGTGCACCAATCCCTCAATCCTCTTCACCAAGTCACATTGTTGGACTATGTCTGCTCTCATGAGCTTCAAGAATCACTGAAAATTTTTATGCTCATGGATAGATTGTCATTTTGCAGTTGGAATTGTTTATTGTTCATTATTTTTAGGTTAATAGATAACCTTCAATAGTTGGTAAACAATATCGAAAAATTTATTATTAAATTTTTTTTTTTACGAAATTATTGTAATAGAATCGATTTATTTTCATTGATAATCTCATTAAATGAAATACTTTACTCCAAATGTAATTAGTAATGTTGCTAATGAATCTAGAATTAGAAAAACAACGTTTAAAATTTTACCGCCAGAGCATAGCCTTACTTGATGTCGGTAAAGTCAAATGTTGGTGAGAAATATTTTTACCATCATTCGATTGTCGTTGTAATTCCAGAGCTCGACACTAGGAAGTTTTTTAACGATGGCAGAAAAATTTAAATTTCAATTAGTCAACGACATCGTTTCCGAAGAGATTAAAAAACAAATTATCGTATTGTATAATTAATAAAATAATTAATTATTCCAAACATTAAAACCTTTTAAACAAAGAAACAAAGCAGAATAAAAATAATGAGGTTATCTATCGATTCTGAGTGACCTAAAAACGAAAAATGGTGTATCATAAATAATATTGATAAATGAATTAGTATAAAAGATGATTATCATACTCACGAAATGAATTTAACCATTATAAATATGACTAAATGATTAGTGGCCTAAATATGAAGGACTCGATGGAGAGAGTGTGTAAAAAAAAGGAAGAAAGGTGAAAGAGAGTGTTTAGGTTAATGGTTATTAAGAATATAAGGCGGTTGCGTATGCGTCGGCGCCGACGTCGACGTCGGCGTCACTGCAGAGGAGAGTTGAAAATTCGTCAAATTGTAGTGAGAGTGGCATATATAGAGCAGAGAAGTGTAACAACAGCAGTCGTAGAACTTAGCTATCAGTGTTAGACGCCATATTGGCATACTGAGACGACGATTGGGGAGGCCGCGCGCAAGACGGCGCCTCGTCTGGCGAAAGGGCTCAGCCGTCGAGCCGTCAACAGGATAGAGAATACTGACGGATTGTGCTTCAACTATTTGAGAAACTATTTATCTATTTAATCGAGACAAAAATCCGTCTCTCTCTTAGTTAAGATGAAGTAAATAAGAAAAATTCCAAAATCATTCAGTATAATTTTAAGATATCAATGAAGATAAAAAATGACATTTGGAGATTTTACTGCTGCTGTTATAATTAGAGTGTTTGAATGAATTTTCATCAGTGGTTGATGATCATAAATAAGATGTATTGACAAATGACAGATGTGATAATGTTGATGTGAAGATTATAACCAAAAAGGTGACCTCGATGCAAAATAAAGTGAGTGACAAAAAAGTTTTTGTGTATGATTTTGATTAGTGATAATTCCCTTGGGTTACATTGATTTAAAGTGAGAGAAATGTTACGGCAGTTGTCAAAGGGTGTTCTATAATAAGTACAGTAAAATAAATAAAGTGTCAGAAAAGTAAGACAAAGTGTGTATATGTAATAGTGGGATTGATGCTGAAATAGAAGAAACAGAAAACAAGAGTACAAGGAGGTTGGATAGAAGTAACATACGAGGTGGCCTAGCGAGGTCGACCGCCCGCCAATCAATACACCACGAACCGACACTCAGTCGGCTCACAAGCTTAGGTACATTCACGCAAGCTCATCGCTATACAACACCGTCGGCAGAACAGCAGTGACAAGAAAACGTATCGAAAACAATTTCCAATACCATCAACGACGAAGACAACCAGCGCCAGTATATACATAAGTTTTACATCTCGAGGCTAAACTATTTTTATACACAGCTTACCAACTATAGCATCGATGTTAGCATTTCATCATCATCATCAACATCATCAACATACTGGATTTTTTTGTATTTATTGGATAATAAAGTTATGTGCTCAAAACATCTAACTTGGTCCATCATCAAACATCATCAACATATTGAAGCTTAATTGTAATGATTTATTTCAAGAGCAAAATGTGCTTTATTGATGACATATTGATCATGTAATGCTTGAGATCCTTAAATACACGTAGGTAGAGTGGGGTAATACACAATAACGTGCAGCAAGTGAACAGAAAAGGGGGTGCAGGAAGCATGCGGGGCTTGGGCGAGTCCCAGCGAGGTGGTCCCGGTGGACCAGGATAAAAATCGCGATCGCTCACCCCCTCCCCACCTGCACCTGCACCTATTCCTTCACACCTACACCCTTGAAACGCCTACGAAACAACACATCCTCTAATCTCGTTGACTAAACTTCTAATTCGGCGAGTTGGAGCTCGCTACTGAGCGAATGGAAAATGATAGAGGTAAGGTTAAAGGTCAAACGTTGTATTTGTTAATTTAATATTTGAGGATTCATTGAATTAAAATAAGATGATTTACAGATGTCGACCGCTACTGCAATGGGTATTGGCGTTAGTCACGGCACCGCTGCTGGTGAAACTGGTGTCACTAGTGGATGTCGGTTACGTGCACAGAGTCAAGGACAGTCTACACAAGCTGCTAATCCGCAGCAACAGACTTCACAACAATCACAACCTGCTGAACCACGATTACAGGAACAACTTAGTTTACAAGAGTGCCAGTCAAATAAAGATCAGCAAGCACAAAGAACTACTCCTCATTCTGGACGATCGAAGAAGGACAATTGTTGCTTATGCTGGTGTTGCTGCTGCAGTTGCTCGTGGTATTATCGTTCTTGTACTTTTTTTATTTTTTACCTTTTATTTCCCTTTCATTTCTTCTTTTGTTTTGCTTTTTAGGTGGTCGCATTTCTTTTACGTCAACACATTTTATTTATTCATTTGACCAGAAAGTATTACACAAGTCTATTATCGATGTGAAAAGTATTGAACCCTCACTTTAAACGGATTAAATTTAACCTTCAAGTGACTCTACATTTCCTGTAAAAATCAGGTGAAAATGAGGCTATGAAAGAAGTCGAATTTATTTAATGAGACATATTATTTTTTTTTTTAATGTCAGTTGATCGTGATAGCTTGTTAAATTTTTATTCAACCAAGCTTTTTTGTTTATTTACAAATCGTTAAAAATAATTTTAGTTGATACTCTTTAGTGCTTATAAATCTACTTCTTGGCCTCATTTTCACCATCTTTCCCCAATTGACCATTGCGCTTGTGTCGCAAGGAACACGTGTATTAGACACGACTCTGTTTATAGTGTTATATAAGTATATAATACATAAGGGAAGAAAACCAAGCAATATTGCAAGGGAGTTTGTATGTTATGGATCGAAAGTGTGCTTTACGTCCAGTTCAATCAAAACTGCTATTAACTATCCTGCTATATATTCAAGCCCTCAATTACGTCATTATAGTTGATCAATGATCAAGTCAAGTCGATTACTGAGGCAAAAAAAAAATGATTAATCATTTCGCGTAATTTTTTTTTTTATTTAACAAAAAAATATATTTTAATATTTAGTTCGTGTTGAATCTCAATAAGAATAAATCAATTATTTTTCTTCGTGTATGTTTGAGTGTCTTGGAACAATTATTTTATGCATAATATTATTCTCTTGAAATCAATTATTTTTATTTGAACATTTTTCTTCTTCCCCTCGATATATATATATATATATATTAATGATAAACGATATACAAAGTTAGGTTCATATTAGAATTTATTTTCCCTTCTCTATCTGACTTTCTCTTTGATTTACATGGGGTAGTAAAAATGGTAAATGAAGGTGTGTAGTACTGGTCGACCTATTTACTGTCTACGAAAAGAAACACACATGCGCAATGCAACAATATCTTTACCGCATGTTTAACATCTCACCCACTTGATCATCTGCATCATTATTTTATCATAAAATTTTTTGTTTGTTTCATGCTACCTACAGGAATAAATGGTGAGATTATTATTAACTATTTTTTAAAATTATTTCTTAGAATATTTTTAAGTAATGATAGTGAGTTATAACGATATATAATACTCCAATAAAAAAGAAAAAAAAATTATGCAAATATTATTTTATAATAGCAGAGTATTTGTTTGAATTTGATGAAATATTCATAGGTAGTATTTTTATTTAAAATAAAAAAAAAAATATTTATCAAATAATTTGGTAAAACTGACTTTTATCTTGGGGCAGAGGAATTTCAATAAACAATAAAATGACTGGAACACATTGTTTTTATTGAATAAAACATTTAATTGTACATTCAAGTAAACATTGACGGTTTATGTTAGCTGAGGATTTAAATACTCAATAAAATGTGATTTTAAAATCACTTGGTGGTTGTGTAGAAACAAATTGACATTGCTGATAAAAAGTCAGAATATTTTATTGAAAATATTTATAGTTAAAATAATTATAAAAATATAATAATATTATTGATATAATAATTTTTATTATGATCAGGTCATATTGGAAATAAACTATGATAAAAATGTAATAATTTATTTAATAATTAAAGATTATTATTATTGTTATAAAAGATTTAGAACATTGTTTATTAATTATGATTGAATAATTAAGATATCTAAAAAGATGAATCTGGTTAAATCTAATTAAAGTTATAGAATAATATAAACAAATAAGTCATAGTATAAATTTTATTTTATATTTATTAACAAAAGCTTTTGTTTTAGCTAATGTATTAATTGACATCATTTTGTTCTTCTTTAAAATATTTTTTATGCATTATAAAAATTACTATGCATTATAGGAATTTTTAAAATAAATTTCTCTCCATTTATTAATTTTAATCTTAAAAAATAAATTGATAGTCAATGATCTTTATTCTCTAAAATTGAATTAATAAACATTTTACTGGTTCATTTAGAGTTGCGCATATTAACAAAAAAAAACTACTAGATAAATATTATAATATTATTTAACATCATTATTTAAAATTATTAGTAATATTTAGTTTGATAATTTATCAAAGTGAAGAATTAATTAGAATTATTAAAATTATATTGATTTTAATGACGGAAGAATGAAATATTCTAATATAGAGATGATGTTTCTAGTCTGGCAGCAGTTGGAAGTGGAAATGGTGGTGGATCAGGACCAGGAAGTGAATCAAAAAAGAAACGAGGATTGGGGATAGGAGGAGAGCCTGGATCTGGGTTAGGCCATCAAAGTGATCATACAGGATCGGGTGCTGGTAATGGATTGGATAGTCTAGATGGATTAGATGGAACACTGGAATGCTGTGGCCTAGAAGAAGTTCGATCGTGGGGTTCTTCTTTTGATAAACTGATGCGAAGTCCAGCTGGAAGAAAAGTCTTTCGAGAATTCCTTATTAGTGAGTACAGTGAGGAGAATATAGCTTTTTGGTTGGCTTGTGAACAACTCAAACGTGAAAACAATCCAGAAAAAATTGAAGAAAAAGCTCGATATATTTATGAGGATTACATATCGATATTGTCACCAAAAGAAGTAAGTCTTTTATTTATACGGAGAGGATAGTAGAGTAAAATTTACTTCATGAGATCAAATCAAATAATTAAGGGGAAATAAAATGATGGCTTAAGACTGGGCATCAGGAACCATGTGACTAAATACATTTTAATTACTGGGCTTTGTTTTATGTGATATAATTTTTATTAATAATATAGATAGTGACTGATGATAATTATTTTTAACAAAATTTCAGTGGAAATTAAATAATCAATTATTTTCTCTTGATGGCCATGAAGCATCAAAAATCTAGTGATAATTCAATGACAATTTTTCCTTCAATTAAATTTTATTAAAATATTTATTAACAAAATAAAATTTTTATCAGTCAATTTCAAGATAATTTACTAGCAATAAAATTAAAAATTACTAGTTTTTTTTTTTTTTTATTAAAAATAGTTTAAAACTTTTTGAAATGTGTTATTTTAATTGGTAAAATGTTTTTTAATAATCAGAAGTAAAAAGTATTGTTCTGGTTAAAATTAAATGTCCTTTTTAGGAATTTTCTAGAACAAAACTGATCTAAAGCTCAGCCTTAAGGTAGTCCAATGCCTAATGTTGTAATAAAAATAATTTTATATCAATAATTAAATTTGATTGTTATGTATGGGGGTTTTTTTTGATGAGTCTCACATGACCTTTATACTAAAAAAAAAAAAAAATTCCCACTTAAATGATGATGGTGTAATTATTAGTAAGAAACGAAGTGATCTCCATAAAAGCCCATTAGAGTCTCTGAAGCTTTCATCTTCCTAGGGTACTTTTGAAGCTAGAATTTACCCCGCATGACAGAGTAATTTTTACTCGATAATTCTCTCCGTGAAGGTATCTTTTTAAATCAATAATCCAATATTTGTCAATAATCGGTTTGATATTGCGCACAGGTGAGTTTAGACTCGAGGGTGCGCGAGATCGTTAATAGGAATATGGTGGAACCAACACCCCATACATTCGATGAAGCACAACTACAGATTTATACATTGATGCACCGTGATTCGTATCCACGTTTTGTTAACAGTGAAATATTCCGAAGAGTTGCTAGACTTGGAAGTGGACCACCTAGTCCTGCTGATGATAATGCACCTGTTGGTAAATCCAAGTCTAAGAAGTCGATTACGTAGTTGACTAGTGTAATTATAAAATAGTGATCAATTTAAATAGTAAAATAACTTTTAAATTATATACAAGTACACTTTTTATATTATTTTGTTCTTCTTATTTTTATTCAATATTTATTTTTTAACTTTTTTATTTTATCCTAAAGTGGCTAGGTGTGTATGTGTGTGTGTGTGTGTGTGAATGTACATGCGCAGTTTTTTTAAACCGATGAACGATGAATCATTTTTTCACTTTGATGTATAACACATATATATATATATATATACATGATATTTAATATGTATATATATACTATTTATATATATATATATAGTAATCCACCTCTGTACCTGTAGCTATACGATGCAAAAAAACAAACTGTAATGCATTCGCAGATATAGCGCATGTGATGAATATATCTATTTATTGGCACAATATTCTTTTTATCATGAAAATAAGCGAGATTTTTTTTAGGAAATATTTTTTTTTTCAATTAAAATGATAAATAACTTGAATAGTCCAGTCAATGTTGGAGACTTTACTCCATTTGTAGACATATTTTTTTTATAGTGGCCATTTTTTAATTTTTTTAACGTCAAAATGTCGTCAATAATCTATAGAAAAAATGTGCTCAAAAATGAAAGTGCGCCGATTTTTTTACAATTTAATGATCCTGTGTATCTGAGCGAGATAGTGCTATAGGCAGGGATGTGTGCTAGAAAAGGACATCAATAGTATAAATTGAAGCAATGCATTTATTATAAATATTATTTATTTATATATAACACAATACATTTTTTTTGCGAATATTTTGTCGTTGAAAAATTAATAATTATCTATTGTAAAAAAATATGGCGACAAATGGATCAAAGATTTGTATATTGACTGGACTAAAATGGGCCATTGACAATCCAATCATCACATTTTGTCGTTTAGTATAAAAAACAGTGATAAAAAAAAATATATCCACTGTTATTATAATTATTATACGCCTTTTCTCTCATTGCATTTATAATTGAATTTTATATCAATTTATCTTAATTAAAAAATGAAATGTAATTTTATTTTTATTAATTGAAAAATTGTATTCATAATTGTTTCTTTTTTTAATTTATTGTTACCTCTGGTTTGTAAATTATAAAATTTATTTAATTAACAAAAAGAAACAGCACAAAACGAGATAAAAGTATCCTAAATAAATAAATATTTTAATTTAAGATATATATATCAGCACAAATTTGTCATTACTTTTGTGTCTAGGATACAATTTGCAATACAAAAATTTATAAATGAAATAATAAAATATTTAAGATGCCATTAATTGATAATATTTGGGGCATATTAAATAATAAATAAATATATAATAAAAAAATATTAAAACATCGTATAAATTAATAATTAAATAATTTTTTGTAATGCTTTAATGAACAAAAATGTATAGCACTTGAATGCAATTTTCTCTTCATTTCTGATACCCAAAAATTTTGATAATTTTTCAAAATATAAACAATTAGATAATGATAATTAATAATTATATAATGTATAAGAGCGGATACGACCAAAATATTATATAAGAGCCCGCTCTGAATTTCTCTAAACAAATAAATGACAAAAAATAATGTTAATACAATGATGTGAGTGTTGAGAAATCGTACAATTATTGTGTTTTATCGAATTTAAATAGAACAAAAAAAACAATATCACCAGAAAACATGTGTTTACATCATTAATAACTCCACTAATAATAATAATAATAATAATAATAATAATAATAATAATAATAATAATAATAATAATAATAATAATAATAATAATAATAATAATATTAATATTAATAATAATAATTATTATGACCAGTTTAAATTCAAACTCGAATCCAACAATTATTATCAATAAAAATAAACAATTAAAGAACAACAACAACAACAATAATTGACAAGAAAAATCTAATTAATAACAATCAACATAAATAAATAAATTAGAACAAAAGTAGTTAAATGGAAGTAAACAAGAAAAAAATAGCAAAAAAAATGGTGTTATTTGTACAAAGGCCTAAGAAATGATGAAAAAAAAATTAAAATAAATAAACAAAAAATAACCGCTATTACAAAAATTAAAACAATGTATCGTAAATATAATTGAACTCGTTTGGTTAATTGCCACTCGAGTTACCAAGTGATACACGAATTTCTACCTAGTCATTGTCTGTCTGCGAGAATGTATGAATAATTAACAGAAAAAAAAAACATCTAGTCTCTAGTATTATTGTTAAGAAAAACTCACCAATTAATTCATTAATTAATTTACGTCAGTTAATTAGTAATTATTAATATATATATATATCTACATCTCTATACAAATATATAACACAGATTTCATAGTAATAAATAATAACAATAATAATAAATAAATAAATATTACTAAATAATTATTAATGAACTAATTAGTTTAATGACATTATCGATAATAAATTGATGAAATAATTAATGTATAAAATATAATTATTACGATATTAATAAATAAATAATAATAATAATATTGATAAGGGAATACTTGAAAAGTATCATAATATTATGTGCTAATAATATCGGCATATTTAATTAACTGCATAAAATATAAAAATATAAATTATTATTATTATTATATTATGTATAATGTTCAAGTTGACTTGGATGCATTCGTATAAAAGACCATCAGCACGAATACAATCTCACTGGGGCAATATATTGTTGCATATTATGCACACTGCAGCATTATTTGTTGTCGATGAAAAAATAGGTAACTTTGGTGCGAATATTTTTATGTAAATACATCAGCTACACAGTAGTAGACTTTATTGAGAATGTATTTGTGTTTTACACAGACAAAAAGCTCTATTGATATTGGTATGGAGCTTTTTATTCGTGTATGGTTTCTAAAATATATATATATATATACTTTAGCAGTTCTAGTCATATTGTGTGACTCTACTGCCCATGTAGATAATTATTATTGTTATTATTAATAAATTATGGTTGGATAACGTATGATATATTATGATGTTTATGAATACTGCTGTGTGGATCATAAACAGTAATGTGACAAAGACTTTTTATTTATTTATTATTTAATAATACAAGTAATTATGATAATGATAATATAATATTAATAATAATAATAACAATAGTTGATTATTTTAATTAAATATATACATATATGTATATATAATTATCAATTTATAATTAAATAAATATATATACATATATGTATACTGTATGAAATGCGCACATTAAAAATCAATTTTTATCTTTATTTTTTCATTCATTATTACTATGATTATTTTTTGTTTACACACGATTTTCGAATATTTTTAAAACTTTTTATATCCTCTCAATGAGACCATAAGCAAGTATAATATATAAGAGTGCAATAAAAATTCATTTTAAACATTAGTCTTTTTTATTTATTCATCTCTGATGAAAAAGCTTATAGTCACTGATTTTGATGATTTTTTTTTTCTATTAAAGATGAGCATTACATCAAAATAAAGTTGATTAATAAGTAAAAATTTTATTTTCGTCATACCCGTGCCGGAAAGTTCACTTTCTATGCCGAGGTGACGAAAATAGTATATTATTAACCGAGAGACGGAAAGTAAATGAGCTTAAATCACTTGTTTACCACCCTCGCCTTCGGTGGTAATTTTACCGAGGTTTGAAAAAGACTACTTTCCCTCCCTAGGTGTGAAATGTACTATTTTCCGAATTCGTGAACTTGAAAATGAATTATTTCGCTTAAATTATCAGAAAGATTCCTATTTTTCAATTCCAATCGATGCAGAATTAATTATTTTATAGAATATATCAAATTCAAGCAATAATATTGGAAATAATAAATGCCATACTTACTCTTATATTAATCTAAAGACTCTTCTCTTTGAAATTAGGAATAGAAGTGATACAGATCACAAGATGAGAAGCACAGATCTGAAGTTTCATCTGTAAGTAAATCAGATCGCGGTGATATTGTCATTTTCTCTACCTCATCGACTGGTATCGGCGTCTATAGGTGGTCAATGAAACCATGTTTATTTTCTGATCCAAGTCCAATGATGCTGCAAACATATCCAACCATTTAATATAATAATAATAAATAATTATTCAATCCAAGATTAAGTGATACATTCAATAAAATTAAATATTTAAAATTTATTCATTACTTTGATGAGGATAATAAAAAGAAGGAAAAGTAAAATATTCTCCAATGAGAGGTTATTTTTCCGGAAATGTTAATTTATGCCGCAGGTAAGAAAACCATAAAAATATTTTGAAGAAAGTAATGAAGTATAATAAAATTTTCATAGGTGATATTTGTTAAAAGACTCATGAGTATGGTGGTTGGGATGGTGAAGATCAACAGAGCTAAAAGTGCTCCTTACGAAACCGCAGAATAAGTGTGAAATTTAATCCGAAACTTTATGCCAGAGACTGGAAAGTTATCGTGGATGTCTGTTGCGCGTGTGAAAAAAAAAAAGAGAGAAGAATGAAAGAGAGAAAAATAAATTGGTAAAAAGAACAAAAGAAATTGAAGCCCTGGAGGGTTGAGAGAGTCTTGCCATGACGTTTGATATAAGAAGCAATGTGCAGCAGTGAGTACAAAATGACGGGGGAAAGAGGAAGGGGGTTGATGGTGGGCACGCGCTTTTTGTCGCTTCCGTTCTCGTCTGGAATCGAGTCTCTCTGGAATCAGTGCGTGAGGTGACTCTCGATGAAGTTCGCGGTCCTCTTATATATACCTCATCTAAGCGCCGATTGGAAAAGTACGCAGTCAACGACGGGGGGAATAAAAAGAGAGACGCGGACGTGCTTGAAGAGATAACAGGCTGGAGTGCTTCTATATAATACTTTGAGAGAAACAGGCGGGAAGAAGAAGCATACGTGCGTGCTGCAGTACACTAACTTGAGCAATCTAGAGAGAGAGAGAGAGAGAGAGTTATTTCAACTCGAAATAAATGCGTCTCACAGCCACGCCTCATATGCGTTGCTCCTGAAGACGACCTTCCACTGCTTCCAGCCTTCAGATTTCTCTCCAGAGGGCCACGAGATTATTCGATAAAAGAGAAAGGGTTTATTCCAACCAATTGTTGGATTTTTCATATTTTTTTCCTTTGCAAAATTAATTAACCCTTGTTTTTTGTTGTCTCTTGTATTTAATGTTTATTGGACAATAAAAATGTTAGGTTATATCCAATGAAAGTCATTTTAAAAATGGATGGAAGTTGAAGAAAAAAATTCCAAGCTTGATGGAATGAAGAGAAAAATGATTTCTGATAGTTTCCCAATGGTATTTGTGTTGAGATAAAACTGCTGATTATTGGTATAAAGAAATGAATTCGTGATATTTTTTTGTACACTATTTCAGCATCAATAGCTCTCGCGTGATTCCAATGCGTGCGAACGATTCATCGAATTCTCGAGCACACACTGGATGATGACGATGGTGAGTCCATAGTAGGTAGAGAAATGGCTACAACGGATAGCCAAGCACGGAGACATGTGGATTCGTTGAACTGGTCTCTGGAATACACAACATATATATACGATGGATTGGAGAAAAAAATATATACTGACATCTAATATGAAAAATAAAATAACAAAAACATTTTATTCTGCACATTGGAAATTTTAAAAATCACTAAAATATTCTAGTGGATGATTTTTTGTCTGTTAAGTTGGATTTATTTTATTATTTCAAAGTATTGTAAAATAATAAGTCTAAAAGGAATGAAAAATTTATTAAAATGACAACAAAGATGACAACATTATCGGTGGGTAAAGTATTGACTCCTCACTTTGAAGGAGTAGAAAAAAAATACTAATAACTGCATTGAGTTGATTTAGGAATAGATATAAAGATGTAGCGATTTTACGTGGTCTGATATAAGTTTTAACATAATCGGTTAATAATTTTGCGAGTTACAGAATTTTAAAATTAAAAAAAAGCTCGTTGTTTTGGAGGCTAATGGAGAATAAGTACAGCGACGTCAATATTTAATGAATTAATATTAAAATGAATAGGAATAAATTTAAATATTTTTTACAAAAAGAACTTTTAAATTAATAATCTTCGGAAATATACCTCACCGAAATATTTTTTGTCCATATTATACGACAAAATTGATGTGTAAAATTAATCTGTAAATTAATATCCACAAAAAGTCCCTAAGAGTAGAACTATTTTTTGACATTATCAGATAATGTAGAACAGTTTTTACTAGTGTTTGTACAGGAAAAAAATGTTTATGGTAATTTTTACGAGTCAATTTACGGTGAATTTTCTTCGTAAAAAAAATTCAAAATTTGTAGGGTTTTTTTTAGATAAAAAATACTAGTCTGGTTGGTAAAAATTACCCAGAAAGTAGTAAAAATTCCTAATTGTATGATCTTTACCAACCAGAATAGTTTTTTTAAACTAATTTCACTAGAAAAAAAACCCTAGTATTTTTTAATTTTTTTTCTAATTTCTTTACGGTAAAATGACTGGTAAAAATTACTATTTAACTTATTTAACAATATTATAACAATTAAAATCTAATAAAAAATCCCAATGGAATGAACGAGTGATTTTTTTTTCTCTATCAATGATATTAAAATTTGAAACACTCACATATCCCTCATTGTACTCTTTCTCTCTGGATGGTCATTCGTATATAAATTATTCAGATTGCCAATCCGGTTTCTCAATGAGAGACTCCCATATTCCAACTCCAAATTCATTGGGATCCATACAAGCCAAATGGACATGGCGTTTGTCTTGATGATCACCTGCTTGTGATTGACCTAGACACCTTTTGGCCATCGCGGATCTTAATCGCACGGGAACATTTAGGGATGACCACTGGGTACCCAGTGTCCACTGTCTATTGAGGGTTGGATCCAGTTCCTTGATATTTCCTAGACGGTGGGAACGAAAACCTGATTTCTGGCAGAACATTTAGCTGGATGTATAATATTCTATTAGCTAACTTACTTCATTGACGACGCAACATGTCCGTTGTAACTGGACATTGTTGTTGAACTGGATCCAACACTGAAAAAAACGGTTAAACTCTCAATGAGAAGCTTCAACTTCCCTTAACATATTCTTGTCATATTGGTCAACGGTCATACCAAAGCCAGTTTGTTGCAACGATTTTTTAAAAAACCTCCAACATTACCACGTGTGTCACGAATCATTATTTGGATCTTTTCAAGGGCTTCAACGTAACTGATTTCTACTGAACTACTGGTATTCTAATTCTTCTTCCTTCACTCAATGAACCGACAGTTATATTACATCCTTTTCTTAACACACTCCTCGTTGTTGGGCTGAAAAAAAATCAGTCATTAAATTCTAGCAATAACTCTAGCTCTTATTTGTTCAACTTCCCATCAGGAAGTTATTGCAATGGGGTTTCAATTTTATAACATCTTCATGTTTTGGAGTATGGAGATGCATGTGGCCTAGCTTTCAAGAAGATGTATGTAGGTATGTCAATTTTAGTGTGCCAGTTCTCTAAATTTCCCTAGTGCTAGTCTTTCAAATATTAATAACAATTTCACTTGTAAATTAACGAAGATAATTTTATTTATTGTTCTTGAGATTGAAAATTGAAACTACAAGTGATTAAAAAGCACTATGCACTCTACTTCCTCATTTATTTCTGCAAAAATAATACTACTATTTTAAAAAATTACTAAATAAAACTATTTTCCACTAAGACAGAAAAATTCTTCCTCTCCATGTAATTAAATAATTACTCTAAAAATGGCGAACAGTGTATAAATGCTGATGGAAATGATTGATAGCAATAAGAGATATTTTTAATGATGGATTGATAATAATTTTTCACTTATCTTCATCATTACAGCGTAATACTATTAGAAGCCGACTCGTAACACAGTAGTGTAAGTATATAGACAACAACCGGACGATCCCCACGCAGAAATAATAAAGGGTGCAAGACCCCCGATGACCTCTGGAATCCGGAAACTTGTTAAACCGGATCTAGTGGTCAATCTTACGGACCCAGAGTTCCTCGTTCCTTGTGCCCTTGTCCTGTATGCCTTAACATTTATCTCTGTGTGTTTGTTAGACATTATTTTTACCCCTCACCTCTGCCACTTGGTGAGAACTGGACGTCCAGCTAACTCTCAGATTCAATGAACAACGGGATCTTATAATTTTTTTTTCTTCAAAAATTGCTTTCAAATTAATTCTTCTTTTTTACTCGAACGATTGTCATTTGGTGAAATACTGCAAAAAAAAAAGAAAATGTTAAAATAATGATTGCTCTCAATGTTATGGTGTCATGTAAATAATAATAATAAATTATTGATCAGAATTAACATGACTTGATAAGTAAAATATGCAGTTAAGAAATGAACACTATTTATATAAGGTATGATAATAAGACAAAATAATCTATTTGTCATAAAAATAATTTTTAAATAAAATTAAAAATAACGGTTATTTTTCATCAATGTCATATATCAATGTAATTAAAGCCTTAATTTGTTGTATTTTTTGAAATCTAAATGAGTTCGAGGTATGTTTTTTGATAATTAAAAAAAAAATCGAAGGTCATACATACTCTCTTGCATAATAAATTCAGATTCAAACAAAAAAAAAATTTATTACCATCTAAAATATCTTACAATTTTCAATGACACTCTGCGAAAGTATTCCTACATCTTGGCAAGCAATTTTTTTTTTTGTCACACCTGAAATTAATAAATTAACAATTTAATAATCATGTAACATTATTTTTCAATAATCACACCTTCAACATCATAAGTATTTTGTTTTTTAGTTAAAAATAATTTTTCTTGATACCTTGGTCGAATAGTATAATATTTCGACTCGATCGAACGACGGAGAATTTCAAGGATGCCATTCTTTTTTTTATTTCTCGAAAAAAGAATAATCGTAAGCCATTAAAGTAAATACTGATATAGAAGTGGTTATAATTTGAATGAGAAGAAAAAAGAGATGTCAATAACGAGATGGGTAGCCAGTAGTATATCGAGCGATGAGTTGGCGATGTTAAAAGAAGAGAGTCACTTATGTACATGTGATAGGGAAAAGAAAATTTGTAGTTATAATAATATGGCATTCAAGAGTCTTAAGTACCAACGAGACTAGAAGTCTCATATTGAAAAGAGAGTCGTGTGTCTTGAACCATTAAATCCCCTCAACTATCTCACTCTCGCCCTTAATCCACACTATGGTTGATCTGACTTGCGTATACTGATAGCCGTGCCTACATACACGCGACGAGATTGCTCGAATGAGTTTTCTAATTTACCTTGGTGCCTCCAGCACCAGCAGCTACGACAGCATGCCAGTAACTGCGACCAAGCGTGGCGCCGATTTCGCGGCAGATAAGAGACATTGGACGAGGAAACAGCTTATCGTCATATAGAGTCGTGCATAGAGAGATATATCGTCATATAGAAGTCTGCCAGAAGGTAAGTGTCTTTTTTTTCTTTTCTTTCTATTTCATTGCTTTTAAGTTTGCTTTATTTTCTTCTCATTTTCCTTTTATTCACCATTTATCATGCTTCTTTTTTCTCTTTCAGGTAAATTGTTTTGTGATTTTCATATTTAATCATCCCAAATTCACAATGACATGGAACTACATTTTGTTTTTTTTTTTGAGGTTGGATTTCACTTCAGTTTTCTCCTAGAAAATCCCTAAAAATCAGAAAATAACTAATTTAGCAGTGAATTTGCAACTATATTTACTGATTTCAGTATCAAAATAAAGTTTATTTCATGCAGAATATCGCTATTAAACATTTTGCTTTATTAATTTGTATTTTAATTTAATTTAATTAGAAAGAAAATTGTTACCAAATTATTACTAGATTTTTTACGTTTCATAAAATAATTAATATTTTTTTCTGCTTATTTTTCATTAGAAAAAATTATCTGCCAGTGTTTTATGTATTTTGCATAAATGTAGCTGCTAGTTAAAAAAAAAAAAACCACTTGAAAAAGTTTATTTGTTGATGAACCAAAATCAATTGTTTAAAAAAAAGCATTGATTTATTTATTAACAATTAAATATCTCAAGAACGATTAATCGTAAAGAGCTGAGACTGATTTCATTTTATTCCTCGTAAAAATACCTTTAATGCGTTATTTTCAAGATATTTAACCAAAAAGATGTGCAAAAAAACTAACCATGTAACCACGAACACTTTCCTCTAATCTTTCGTCACTAAAAATAGGTTATTTTACCTCAATTGTTTAATATTCAAAAAAACTTTTAATTTTCGTTTTTTTTGAAGCACATTAACTAGATTATTTGTTGTTTATAACCTTAAAAATGCAATAGTGAGGTTAAACAACCAAAACAAAAACAATAGGTTAATTTGAAAATTTGACCGTTAGATAAAAGTTCGATAATATTGATAGATGGCCCTATTGCGCAAATCTGTAACATAACCTGTAGTATATCAGTGTATTGATAAGCAGATTAAAATTCAGACATGGAACTTTATTTCTACATAATTGCAATAATTGTAATAAGCAATAACTCTTAAATTCGATAATAATTTTTATCATGATATACTTAATACATATGCTTATGAAAAAAAGGGGTCTTGCAACTGCACGCGAGAGTTAATTTCGCTTTAAATACATGGATGATTCTCGTATAAATCCCACTGGGAATCTTCTTGTTTACAAGCCGCCCGCTCAAAGCTCAATAAATGCGGCACGGTTTTGCACCCTGCCGATATTCAGAGCGAGTTATGATCGGTAGCCACATTTCTTGGAAACGACGCCCCACGGAATCGTCTCGCATGCTTGATCATAATTAATAACTCTGGAGCAATACAGTGGAGACCAAAGAGAAGCTGGAGCTTGTAATATAATAAGAGACATAAGAGGAAAAAACGCCCACTCACTTGTCCACGGTTTTTCACTTTTTTTTACTCATATTTTTATGCATATCCAGTCATTGATTATATGACGCGAAGAAGATTTAATGGGTTTCTTATTCTCCAACATCCGAGAGCTTCACTCTTTTATCAGGTAAATAACACTATTCTCTATTATTATTATTATTATTATTATTATTATTATTATTTATTTAACATAAACGATTGCTCATGAAGTTGAATAAAAAAAAACAAAAATTATTTTTAGGTTAAAAGTTTGATTGTTGGAGTAAATAATTTTTTGTCAGTCTATGTACAGTACTGGATGTCAGAGTGTCACTATGGAGATGAAAAAGAAGGAAGCATTGGTGTAATAAATAAATAAAAAGAACAAAAGTATCAATAAATATTGATACAAAAATACAAGCAGGTTAGTTTAAAGGTTTTTTTTATGCATTGCCTGTACAGTCATTGGACTCTCCAGAGATCTCTCTTCAAGTTCTCGACCCCTTCCAACTACTCTTCTTCTGATACCTCTTTTAGCTTGCGATACGGTTCTCAACCTCTTCTGTTCAACCGGTCCAACTCATTTCATTCACTTCTCCAGCATCATTATATGCAATCCTATATTTACTTATTGCATTACTGCACTTGAATGGTAACAACTAAACCAATCTATTCATAAACCTAAATTCAAATATTACATGACTTTAAAGATGATATTATTTCCTTCTTTCAGATGTGTCTGGTCTCTTTGAATTTGGGATGAAAAAGGTTCCACGAAGATTCCAAGTATTTTAATGATGAAAAGCCAAGTTTTTTTTTTATCCCAAAGAAGATTCTAGTGACCTGGAAGGTGCATAGCTGGCGAGATCAAAAGAGATACACCTGTCGAGAGTCTTCTCTTAGTCCTCGAATTTCTTTCTTATATACCTGCAACCCCTAACTATTTGAAGTCTGGAGAGAGAGATGGAGAATGAAAAAAATAGTGATTTTCCATGCCTAAAAATAATCTAGTATAATCTTTCAAGTTTAAACGGTAAATCTCATAAATTAATACCCTCTAATACCTTTAAAGTTGTAAAAAAATTCCTCAAATCTTGTTGATGATCTTGATGGAAATAAAAATACACAAATATCTTTAGCTTCAAAAAATATACAATTTTTCATGAATATTATTTTATCTTTTTTTTTTTAGGATAAATTGATCGTCATAGCCTTGACTGTGGGAGGAATAGAATGGGATGCTAAATTTAGCCAAGATTAAGGTTAGAAAAAGAAATATCTGGAGAAATAACTCCATAAAAGAGAGACGTAGTAATAAATATATATATTGAAGAGGAGAGCAATTGAAAATTTTCCACGGGGATCTGATCCTTTCCTCTCTCATATACTCTGCGTTAGAGCTCGGTAAATGCCTTAGGCTATATTCTCTCTCTCCAGATCTCCATTTTTCACAAGTCTCCTTCTTCCTTTTTGATTTTTTCTTCATTCTATCTCACTCAGTTATTCTCTATCCATCCAATAAGACTCTCTTACTCTTCCATCGCCATTTCAGTTTCTCATCTTCGTCTTTCTTTCTTTAGCAGCAAATATTAAACTTATTTTATTTTTTTTAATTTCCTGCAACAGCTTCACGCACTCCCACTCTATCCAGAATACATATCTCCATCTTTATTCCCCAATAAGTTTGACGAAGAGACCCGTTGTGAGTCTGGAGTGTTCATGCTCTCTCAATTAGACGTGAAGCCATAAGTAAGAAGAAGAGGATGAGATTGAGGTGGTAGAGAAGGGGAGGTAGAGGAAGGGAAGTAAAGTATAAAAAGAGAAGAGAGATGATAATGCTGAGGGTGGCCGAGGTCCAGTGCCGCGATTCCTCGTCTGTCTTCTCCATACCTATACCAACCTATACCTTGATGACTCGATGTTCTGTTTGTGTTCACTTCTCTCTTACTCGTTCACGTTAGATCATCATGAGTGTTCTCTTCATCCTTCTGCTACCTGCAAGCAGACTCAAGAGAGTTGATACACCGCGTCCTTCTCCTCCTTGGGGCCCCGTTGCGGCTGACCGCCGGTGTTGGATCAAGGTAGTGGGAGGTATCGGATATACTTGAGGTGGACAGGGACAGAACGACGGTGAGGTGGGATAGAAGGAATGGCTATATAGCAGTGAGACGATGGTGTTTTTTCTCTCTCAAATCGGCAAGATCTGGAGAGGGAGACGGTCCAGTAGGCGGTTGGTAAGACGAGGAACGGATGAAAGTAAATGAGGATTGAATAAAGATAGATATAAGTGAAGGCGGTGAGAACGGGGGAATGAGCTGCTTGGATGCTGGGGCGGCCATGTTGTTCTTCGAGGAGAAGAGAACTCTGTGGTGTGCGCGACGAGGTTCGCTTCTTCTTCTTCCTTGTCGGCTCGCTTAAACCTACACGAAAAGCTTTTTCGGGTTTTGCAAAATACGTTTTTTAATATATAACACTAGAACACACATCACATTCATTGATTATACTTATTATCAAACAGTTAGCTTTGATATTCAAGTACTAAGTGAGTTATTTATTATTATTATTATTATTATTTTTTGAAGTACAGATTGAATGTGGATCTTTGAAGTTACTGGTCTCGGTGTAGAGACGCTTGGATAAAAATCCGCCGCCAAGTTGCCAAGTGACACGGAGTGTGTTTTTCCAGTGACGTTTGTGGACTCTAGTGTGCTAATTCACCTAATCCTATGGACCAATTGTAGAATAGTGACCAAGGATTTAAGGTCTAGGTGATTAAATCTACGGAGATGTGATCTAGAAACTTATCACACTTGGTAGTTTGTAGTTTTCCCCCAATCTTCCCCACCCTTTTATTCCAGATCATATCACCAGGTTATAATAAACCATGCTATTATCCAATGCGCTCAAAAGCAACACACACCATGTAAGTATTCTTCATCAAATACTATTCTTTCTTCTTCATTCTTCATTTTAAAATCAGTTTGCCATTCTTGCTGAACCATCTTCTTCTCTAGATCTCAATTCTTGTGTACACACATTGGATCCCCTGGTCTCCTCGGTGAACTTGATAGAACTTACTTGATCACTTGATTGCTTCTTGCTTGAGTCTAGAAGTCTCTTGAACTTCTTGGGCCCACCTTCAAACAATTTCACATCTAATCTCACAGAGTCACTTTGAGTAACACTTGGTGCACGAGCTAGTGTTTGACTCGCGAATGAACGACATGCCGGTTCTGGTGAGTTCCCCATCAGCGTGCGTAGCACACGCTACGCCAAGAGACAGAGAAAGAGAGAACAGGAGGGCGCGAGGGCGTGCGGCTACTTGAAATACAAACGGAGGTGGGTCCTTTAAGAATCAGGTTAGACCGGCTGAACCTGCTTCATCTCCTTCTTTACCTCCTCCTCTCTTCCAGGCTACTCTTCCGCGTGTGCTAACCCCGTCGTGACCAGACGTTGGCATACTATTTCCCCGCGTGTGCTCTACACAAGAATGAGACATAACTTGTTGCAGTCATCACTAACCAGTCAATGAATTCTTGATGAATGAATTTCATATTCCATCAGGTCTAATTCTATTTTTCACAGACTTTTATTTCATCAATCTTTAATTCTCTTTTTACCTAAATATTATCATTCAATATTGAATTTATTGTTAAATATCTTTTAAAATAACTCTAGATCATCAACTTTTTTTTTCTTTTTCTTCTCTTCATTTAGGTTCTTATTTCTTGTCGACTCATGTGCCATAACGACACTCATCTGTGATACAGTTCAAATTTAAAAACCTCCCTCCTACATCTTCGACGTTTTTTGAAGTACCCAAGAAGACCTTTAACATCAACATTACATTGCAACCAACTAAAATGTCGACTTGTACCGACGACGCTGATAATTCTACGCTCCATATGCAGGACGCCATGTCTCCGGTTAGTGACAACAAATATTTATCATTAAATACATAACATAATGTTTTATTTTATTTATTATTATTATTTTAAAAATAAAAAATAATTATGATGATGATGATATTTTATGATATATCCATCCATCAAAATATCCAATATGTTAATTATAATTCATGATTAAGAAAATAAAAATATTATCTGCATAAATGTAGAGAGTTATCTTACATTTGATCTTATAATAACTTGCGTTATTAAAAGAATTTATACTTGGGGAGTGCAGTCGATTAATAATTATGAAGAAGTGCCTGACGCGTGAAAGGCATTTAGAGAGTCAATCATTGGCACACAGAGACATATTATCAATGTTATTTCCATATATAAGCGTATAAGCTATTAGCATTTTATTTATTATAGTTCTTTACGTCATCATACAGTGGTTAATTTATTCAATATACTTTTGCAGGTGCAGGAGGGTCCAATTTCACCCGCGTCTTCATGCCTGAGCAATCAAAATCAAAATGACGAAGTGCTGTTGGCTACAATGCAGCCAGTTAATGTTATTGATCTCCATGAATCAACTGATCATTCACTTCATTCTCATAAATATAATCATCATAATCATCATCGTCATCACAATCATCATCATCATAATCATCATCATCATCATCACAATCATAATCATCATACAGATGATGATCATACACATCATCATCATCATCATCATGATGATGAACAAAATGGTCGTGCGACACCTGAATCAAATCCAACTGCTGCCAGTTTAGGTCACAAAATGATTGATCTTATTTACAATGATGGCAAGAAAACAGTTATGTATACACATGACAAAGAAATTATTTATGAAAGTGAAGCTGATCGTGTACAAGTTGTTGAATATCCACCGCCAGCACCATCACCATCACCACCACCAACACCAACTGTTACACGTAATAATTTGGTTAATGTCACACGTCATGGACCACCTGCAGCAACAGCTACTACTTTACATCTACATCACTATCCTCAACTTGCTCTTCAACATGAAAATGACCTTCCAAGGGCAGTTGCTACTGGTGGAGCATCAGTACCAGCAAATACCACTACTACTGTACTCGTTTTATCAGAATTAGTTGCTGCTGATCCATCAACTGGTGCTTCAGGTCTTGGTTTAACCACTTCCGGACCTACCACAACACTTCGAAATGGGTGAGTTTTTTTCTTCTTTTTTTCCTTCTTCTACCTTGACTTGGATCATCTAAGTTTGTACGTTAGATTTTTAATCATTTCCATGATCAACTTAGATCAAGTTTGATCAAATTTATTATCAACCATCTCTATATGTATGTATATATATAATCTTACTTAGAATATATACATAATGTAGTATAGATTATTCCACCTACCCATTGACTTCAAACTCCTCCTTCTCTAGATGTTAAGTCCGTGTATTATAAATATTCCAAGCCAATAACCATTAAGTATACATAAGCAACGACTACATCTCTTAGTGCTCTTTACAGTAAATAATAAAAATACATGGCAATTAATACTCTACACGATTATACGCATGTCTATAAAACCTTGAAGGACATCAAAAACGATTAAATTTTTGTAATGATTAAACTTGAGCTAAAATTACTGCTACAATTAGTTTTAAGTAAAAATTCTTCAATAGTGAAAGAATAATTGACTTTAATATGTATTGGTGAATAAATAAAAAATAAAATAGTTCTCTTATCAAGATCTTTTGCTTCGTCATCAAAAAATAAAGTTTCAAATTAACGATTGTAAAGAATAAAAATAAAGGGGGGTAGGATGGGGGATAAAAAAAATTTACGTTTCTCTGATACGACAGTATCAAGGGAATTTTTAGTATGTGTATATAACAGTAGAGTCTTTAAAATGTGCTGTAGAAGGTCGACAGCAATTTGATTCTTTTTCTTATACGACATTTAATGTATGCATATACATAGTGTATATATATATATATATGTGTATATAAATGAAAGAATAAAATAATAAAGGCACAAAAAATAATGAATAAATATAAGAATAAAAATAAAGATGGCTGTAAAAGTGAGAAATAAGAAAATAAGGAGAGAATATCTATACAGAGGTAGACCATAAGAAGTGATCGGTATTGGAGGTTAAAATCAATGGAATTAAATTAACATAAAAAAAAAAAAACGAATGTTTTTTTTATTTATTTATTTATTCATTTAACTGGAATTTAATTTTCACTAATGAATAATTACTCCATTTTTATCTTTTTTCGACAACAAAAGTCAACATCAAGTGATCAACAAAAAGTCTAGACTTTTTTTTTAGAGGTTAGAAAATACTTAAAGGTTGTTTATAGCTCGGTTAATGATTTAATGTTTTTAATTACATATTTAATTGATTATAATAATTATTATTATTATGTAAATGGTAATAATAAACATCTAAATCAGTGATTGAGTGTCCAATCTTTGAGGTTATTCAGTGACTTATTAAAACTCTCACTTAAATGCACTGCAGGTGATTAAAAAAAAGAGATTATTGTTGTTTACATAAATTAAATATATACAGACACATTATATTTAAATCACAATCACTAAATAATGAGATAGAATTTTTTGTTTTTTAAATATTATTTTTTTTTATTCTGCTTCATCATGACTATTTATTTAGTTTATAGAATATGGTAAAATTTTTGCTTTTTTTTATGGACGAGACCTTGATGTTGTCTTGTTTATTTTGTGAAATGTATATCCCAATGACGGTTGATATTAACTGCATATATATAGAGAAAGAGGCTCTGAGTGAAAGGGAAGGTGAATTTTCGAGCATCTTTGAAGAAGGAAAAAATGTTGGATCTGCTTTTTTTTTCTTCTTCTTTTTTGTTTTTAGTATCTGAATGATGAATAATATGCTTGGGAAAAAACATTTTTAAAGAATTTAAAGACGGAATTATTTTTATCATAAATAACAGTGATGAGTAAAAATTAATTCCTTATGAATTTACATGGATGTGTGAAGTTAGTTTATAATCGAAAAATTAAATGATTGAAGGCCTTCAGACAATTAGGATAACAGTAGGACTAAAAATTACGGCCACGCATGCGTACGAGGGTCATATTGAAAGATATTAGCTCATGCGCATGCGTAGCCGTAATTATTTGCCCTATTCCTAGGATTATTATTATTTTACCCAATTATTTGAAGGTTATGATTCTTTATTCGTTAAAATTTTTTAATGATTGTCCACTTTTTGATATTCTAGGTTAGACACACTGTAGGTAAATAAAATGAATAAACAAAAGAAATTATAAAATTCTTTGATGAAAGCTTGCAAGCTTTTTTGATGGTTTCTTTGGATAAAATAATGAAAAACAAAGTAAATAAAATGCGGCTATTTAAAAGTATATATTATATAAATTCAAAATGGTCAGAAAAGTGTCTTCTTTGTCGTTCCCTTTTCATTTCATCCTTGACCGCATCTCGCCCCTTTCTGTATCCCCCTCTAGCTCTCATTTAATTCCCTTGGTCCTTATTATTTTTTTTTCAACTCCAACCTTATAACTACATTGAACATGCAGGCTTCCAGGCTCTTCACTATATATTTTAAAAAATATTTTAGTGAATAAAAAACATATCTATGTTGATATCAATGATATACAGATATTTTAAAAATGATCAGAAAGAATAGGAAAGGTTGATAAAAAGAGAAAGAAAAGGCAGATTCCACTACACTACCTCTGTTTCTCAAGCTCCAATCGTGGATATTACACGTGTGATTCATCGTACTCCGAAAATAGAAATGATACCCGGGCTTTTTAAAATGTTTTCCATCTATAAAGATGCATAGCTATTAAATAAATCCTCACCATTATTTTTATTGTAAATCAAAAGAGATGAAATTTATATTGATAGTTAAAGTTTAAGGCTGAGTAAATGTGTAATAACGGTAAAGGTTGACATTTTATTCTTTCAAGAGAAGTCATTTTTTGTTTAAATATCTTCAAGTTCCTAGGGTGATCAACCACCAATCACAAATAATCATTGACATTCAATTCATTCTGACAATAAACAACATGTCATCATAAACAATTCTTTAGAATTAAATTCACTGTTACAAGTCACAATTTTACAATCATTGTTGAAAAATCATAGTTAAAATTACCGTAATATGACCGTTTAGACCTACAAGAGGTTTAGGTAGGCCTAAAACAAATAAAAAGTGTTTTAGAAAAAGATAAAAATAATAATTTTGTTAATAAGACAATAGAGAGCGTAAAAAATATGCCGTGGAGCAAATTGGGATACCCTTTTTAAGGACTACAAGGCCTTAAAAACTGTCTTATAGTCTTAAAAAAGGTTTTAAATCCCTTAAAAATTGTCATTTATCATTTATTTGAAGTTGATTGATATTTTTTATAATTAATGATCGATATTTCAATTTTTTGTTACTCTTTACTGTTTCTAATCAATGAAAATGATTCATTAGAATATGTATTCTAACAAATGAGACTGAAATAATGATATTTCCTCGAGTAAATGATGGGGAGGAATTTTGATCTGAGTGTGATAAAATAATGCGAGGGTTGTAAAAGAATAATAATGCGGAAGTGAAGCCAATATACATAATCGAGGGATAAATGGAGCCAAAGGGAGAGAGAGAAGGAAGAATAAGATGTCTAACTGGCTGTTGGCCTCTCGATCTACACAGTATATACGAACTCGGAACTCGTGTACTCCAGGCCGGATAGACAGGTTGTCCAGATTCCATGGAAGGTCGTTTGCTTTGCTTATGTTGAGAGGACTACGCCCGACGGCGTTCTCCATCTGATCCTATAAACGTTCTGCTCCATTGACAGATGAATTGAAAGCTACTAAATGACTACTTTATACATTATACTTTCTGATGTTATTATTTCCGAGTTCAATCAAGCCTTATAATATAAAGTGCGATCTTTATATACGCATATATATATATTATCGAGTTCGGATGCATATTTAGTCACAAGAGAAAGCGTTGGAATTTCTTCTAATACTTGACTGCACACATGATAGTTTATATTTCAAGAAAATCAGGGAATTTTTATACTAAACAAATAGTTTTTAAATTAAAAAGTTACTAGTATTTTTCATTTATTTTCTCCAAATATTATTCCCCTAGAAATTAATCATTTTGTTTGAATAATAATTTTTAATAGTAATTATTTAATATTTATTTGTTAATAAATAAGGACGATTTAAGCACAACAGTCCTCGTAAACATTTTATCCATCTTTCAATCTTTTATTATTTTTTTTTAAAGAAATTACTATAAATCCATGTGGCCATCTTACCCTGATTCGTTCTATTTTCCCCATAATAAGCTACATTTCACTTATGCATAAAAAAACACACTTTTACTTCAATAAATATGATTATTTATTACTATTTTTTATTGAATAAAAAATTTTACTCGTCACTTTTTGCACTTATGTGCATCGCAAAAAATGCAATACATTGGAAAAGAAAGAGAGAGAGAGAGAAAAAAACAAATCTTATCTTGCGTCAATAATGAGATGATTTTATTTTTGAAAAATAATGCGGTTTGAGTTGGCATTTGCGTATATAGGGGTTTTTAAAAAGGATAGAATCAACCGGATATGTCGAGTGGTCAGCTATCATGTTTCTCTTGTGTCTTTTATCTTTTCTTTATGTTCGCTAGAAGAAGACGCGAGGACAATCGACCGGAATTAGCCTCCTTTATTCCTACATATACTCACATATATATGTATATATAAGCTTCAAATCCTACGTCGTTTCAAATGTCGTTTACACATTCTCCATTATTATTATTATTTTTTTTTTCACTTAATTGCAATGAATCTTTTTCAACCATTTTCCACTCTAAAAATCTCTAGGAAGCCAAATGGTAAATTGTAGGTGGCGCTGCGGAATGCGTGTTTATTAACCCTCTCAGGACCATAAGAGTTTTAGAGGTTAAGTTATGTTTTTAACTATATAAAATGATCTATCATGCGTCTAGAAAACATATTAACAAATCAAAATATAAAAAAAGTAAAAATACGTTTAGGAACCAATTTAACAGTAAAATACTTATCGTTTCTAATAAATTTATTAGTTACATTTATTTATTGTTTTGGAACGCCTGTGTCGCCGTAGTCGTCAAAGGGTTAACTGTCAAAAAATATTTGGTTATAAATACCTAC